CCCTAGACTGCATCTGGGAAAAGAAGCTGGTGACACTAGTAGATACTGAGCTTGCTTGGCATGTTTTCCCCCCATTTTTGACATTCGTACCTGGTCCAATAGTACTATGTACAATATAGTAACTACTCCGTACAAGGGGGGGATGCTAGTATGATGCTAGCATGATGTTAGCATGACGGTATGTGATATCTGAGCCCCGACCGAGATAGGTATTATGTCAGAGTCGCAATCAACCTTGAGAAAGACAGGAAGATAATCATATCCAATTCCATTGCGGGTGAGCTGCACTGGATCGAACCGTGCAGGAATGGGCCCGTTTATCGTTTAGAGCAAATGCTGGCGTGGGGTCCAAAAAGCGGAGATATACGGATTTAGGTCTTGACAACATTGCACATCAACCGTCCTATGTGGTCTTGGTACTTGGTCTAGGCTACTTGTGTCTCCAGTATCCAAAAGCGGAGTCCACTGCGACACGACATGCTCTCTATGCTACATTTAGTAAAAGCACCTACATACGGGCGTATATTGTACAGCAGCTACTGCTCCTACTAATGTAGGCGTCGTGGCTAGTGCGAGAAAGTCTGCGTCCTTGGCACCATGCGGCTGAAATATACACCGAGTCTTGGAAGTCGAAGGCCAGATGGCTACAAAGGGGACTCGGAGCCGAAGCAGAAGGCCGAGAGGAGCTACGGGGGTGTCCCACCTGTCCAGGTTGGATCTAGTTGATTATTAATTATACTTTTTTTTTTCCCACAAATTATTTCCTTGATGGCATTGAAGGATCGCTAAATAATAGCCAAGAGATAGTTGGAGATTACCCGGACCCATGATCTGATGTTGCAACACTGGCGCCCGGCTTTTGCGCCTTTTGCGGGCCCAACAGCCAACAGCCAACGACAACCAGAGCCCAACACCTTTGCGGAATTACCGGGGTCTCCGGGATGGTCGCTCTTGCATGCAGGAGGTCACTGTCAGGTGTTCTCGCGCCAATGCAGGATGCTCAATGCGCTTTTTAATTCCGTTGGTAGCTTGACTAGTTGGTTCTCCGTATAGTTAGCAGTTAGCCAACATGACCTGTTGACAACGTGGTCCACTAATCCCAATCAAGCACTATTCTGCGGTTTCCAAACGCCCTCCAGTAAAAGTACTTTGTGTCATGCCATACGGAGTACATGTCTTAGATCTGACAGTTCGGCGTAGTTCGGAGGATCGCCTCCGATCCTAGGTTCACTTGCAAACCATCTGAGCCTCAAAGGCCCCGTCCATGGTTGAAGGAGGGGAACCTGTAAAAGTTTCAAAACCTCCAGGGTTATTGGGTATTATTTGGAATCTCCTCGGGATTGTTTCTCAAGATAGGTATTGTAAACCGCCTTTTTCCGGCCAGAGATTGCCTACAATATACGGAGTACCCCGTACTTACAGATGGATTTGCAGATTGGCGAAGTTTCTCTCTGGCCCGTGGTGGAGAGGAACCTATCTCTTCGTTAGGCAACGGTTCTCTAAAACTGTGGGTTCCCCTGTTGCGCAGTGACTGCGCGTCTCCGGTCTAGTGCCTATCCAAGACATGTTGGATCCTGATACCTAGGTATCCCTACCATGTAGTATCCATGGTGCATTTTTTGGAAATTTGCGCACCAAACGAGTCATTTTTGCCCCTGTCGACCGGACCTTCCCGTTCCAAATACGGAGATTTCAGGAAGTCGAGAGACGAAGAGTCCAGGTCTCAATGGAATTCTAGATCGAGGTCGGAAAGCCCCCAACTTTTAGTTAGCTTTGGCTTTGAAGGACAATGCTCATATATATACTCCGCAATAGTACCGAGTACTCCATACAGAGTATGCGTAAGCAATAATCTAGGATAACATAATGCTACCCAGTTAATTGCGTGCTTTAACCGTGGGGCAGTCGGCGGCTATCGCTAACGTCTAGCAACAGGACATAGCGTTCTTGGCTCCTGACTTGGGACGGCTGCAGAAAAAAGCCTGGAGAATAAGGATTTGGAATTCAACCCTGCATATTCTGGCTCATAATTAAGAAGATACTATAAACAAAGAAAAACTAAACAAAGAAAAAAAGTACAGAAAAAAGGGGAGATTTGGAGTTTGGAGATTTCGACACATCTCACAGAGAAAAAGAAATGAAATCGTTAAGCGATAGGAAAAGGTGATTGGATAGATACAGATGAATTTTGGACCAATCTGCCCACGTTCTGAAATTAAATAAATTAAATGGAATATCATTTCTCTTTTTTCCCCCTCTTTTTCCTTTTCTTTTTCTTTTTTCTTTCTGTTTTTTACTAGCTAATGGTTGGCCGTTAAAGAGTGGCTAGGGCCCAATATGCACAGCATGACTCGCGCAATGTGACGATAATTAAACTTGGAAAATTTACTTTATTTTTTTTTTTTTTGGGCAACCATGGATGAGCACGGCAACATGTCTATTCAGGAAGGAGTCGATCTACGTGTCGCAGCGGGGGTCAAGCGCGGTGCATATTATCTGCATCTACTCTCTTAGTGTACTCTATTGGATTGTCTAGATAAAAAAGCAATATGGAAAAGAAAAATGCAAGACACTTTAGTACTACGTATTGTAAACTAAAACATACTATAATACCACTATAATCTCACGTGATTGAAACGGGCTGCGGCTACGCGACTGACGAACGCCAAAACGATCCTGATTGGACTTGGTGGAGAGCGGCAGACAAAGAAAACAGAGTGGAGAGGGGGGGGGGGAAAGGCCGGTTTTAGCCCCGGGGGAGGGCCATGTTGATCCGATCTGCACGGAATCGGGGGCTTCAGGGACTAGGATTGCCTGTGAGGAGAGGCTTGCCAAGGGGGGTCTCGGAAGCAACGGGCCATACAGAACTGGCAGATGGTGCCCTAATTAAGTATGGATTTGGCGCTTGCGCAAGTTGACTGCGCCGCAGAGATACGATCACAACGTTTCTGCTCTTTTTTTTCTTTTTCTTTTGGCCCTGGTCCTTTTCCTGTTTCTGGACAGTTTTGAGGAGATTGCATGGATCAATGTCTCCGAGTGATTTAGAACAGGTTTCTATACCTGATACACTGGGAATACTACGTCTACCTGCATATACCTGCCTATATTGTATAACCTTTTTTCATTATCAAATTGAATGGTCCAAACGGTCAAACCTTGAAGAAAATCCAAGAAAACCGTTGGCGGCTGCAGATGACTGACGATCGGCCTGGTCAAGGCGCAGATCGAGGGAAAAATGGCGCAGAGGAAAATTATTATCACGCGAGTAACATCACAGTAAACGGGATCCGTAAAGTGGACATGTATCACTTCGATATTTTAATGCAAGTTGACTGCGCGGGAAATCCGCTGTGTCGGCTGCTGCCGAGTTCAAGTTGGATTTTCCCCAATTCCCCCCCCGCGTCCGGTGTTTGGGACAAAAAAATCTACCATGGTTCGCTATATCTCGGGTATTTGAGATATGTAGGTATGTACAGTAGTACATCTATAGATTATCGGCAGCTCCGAAAAAGGCCCTGAAGAGGATAGAGGAGACCTGTGTGCCACGGTCTTCAAGGATCTCTCTTACCTCATAATGCTTGAGATGTGTTGGCAATGCCAAATTGAGCTTGCATTAGCTCCTCACGCTCATTCGTCCTAACATCCCAGGACCATGGCGTACGTCGCAACAGATGACTTTTGCGTCTACCAATAGACGCCGCGCGTTTGTGTTGGTTTTCTCGTTTTTCCCTTAATTTCTGCACTTTCCTTCATCCATGACCTCGAAAAAAAAGAAAAAGAAAATCACACCTGACTGTATCTATTAGTCCGTTACCTATCCACTTCTCACATGAACGGGTAGCGTTGGATAGCGTTGGACAGCCCAAATGAAACACTAAAATAGAAAATGCACGCGAGTTCTTCGATTCTTCATCTCTTTATTAATTAATTATTTTTGTTATATTAACTCATATGTGTCCTCGAGGAGTCTCAAGCCTATCACTTAACCGCTCATGCAATAACAGTGCAGATATGTACAGAAACAAGAAATCGATCCTCTTTGATCTTTTAGGAAATCGTTCATCTGTTACATCTCTAATCTCCTCGGATAACTACTTTGATATTCTCCAAACTCGGGATTTGTCATTCATAAACTTCGCCTTGGCGCTAAAATTGCAAAAGGCTAAAGGTAAATTGTAATTTTGGTTACCGCGTGGCCCCCGTTTTTCGTAACTGCATATGTACAATACCAAAAGGAAAAAAAGAAAAGAAAAAAAAAAAAAAAAAAAAAAAAAAATTCGATCGGATTGTGTCATGAAGCTACAAACCAACAAACCAACGGCATAGACAAAGCCAAACTTTCCTAATAAGGATTCGAAAAAAAAAAAGTTAAGGAACGGAGTAGACCGAAGCTATTGCCACATCTTCAAAAGATATCAAATTAATTGAAAAATAAGAGGAAAAAAAAACAGTATGGTCTCTCCACTACACCGAACACGGAGCAACTGTCCGGTTCACCGGTCTGTTAATTCCTTTTTTTTTAATAAATTATTTTCCAATTTAATTTAATTTTCTGAATAGAAATATGTCTCTCTGGGGGTGGAACCGAACCTCTAGAAAAAAAAAAGGACCCCTGTTAGCCCAACGAGCCTTGTGTATCCGCGGTACACAGCTATACAGGGGGGGCCAAAAGGAACAGACCCAGGCAGTCGGTCCAGTGCATCCAACAGCGCTTTTAGTCTCTGACTTTTTCTTTTCGAATTTCTGCTCCCTCATTTAAGACCAAGTGGTGCTCCAGCTTTTCTTTTTCCTAGAGATCTATAGGCCTTGCTTACCCCCAAGGACATATTATACTTCATCTTCTATACTTCACATCGTCCATTGGCTCTCTGATATAGACCTCTCTATATCCCCACTTCTACTATCAGACCTGGTCTGAGCATTCTGGGACACTCCAAAGCTTGGCCCTCTATAAAATCCCAAAGCCAACTCTTATACAACATACGTACTGGCAATCCAAAATGGCAACCCACACAGAATCATACGCAACACTCCCATCAGCACGACAAAGCAAAATGAAAATCGACGCCTTACTGAACCCAGGCGACGGAGACATCTCGCCACGCTCCCAGCACGCCTCAATCCCATCCAACCGCCACAGCTACCACCAACCCTCACCAAGCTTCCCCCCCAAGCCCAAACTACTGGTACAACCGCAGCTACCACGACACCAGCCCAGCACTATCCACCACCACAGCAACAACCCAAAGCAGCACCAACCACGTAACGGGCCCATCCCAGATGTTCTTCAGCTACCGGCCCTCCGACAACCGCGCCAGCACAAGCAGAACTCAAAGCTCGCTGTCCGCCCCTTCCTCGCCAGACCCTTACCACTCGCGCGAGCGCTACTCAAGCGTCTCAAGCTCCTCCTCCACTAACGGCGACCGTCGCCGTCCCCCGCGGCCAAAGTACGAAGAAGAGGAAATGTACTTCATCTGGTACCACCGCGTTGATCTGTGTCAGGAGTGGAAGGAGGTCCGCGAGGCGTTCAATCGCCAGTTCCCAAATCGCCAGAGACGCGGTTTCCAGGGTATCCAGTGCAAGTTTTACCGCTTCATCAAGGAGAAGAAGTGTCCGACTCTGCGGGAGCAGAGGCGTATGCGGGATGGGGAGTTCTTGAGGGAGGGTGCTTCTGCTTCGGTGGGGGATCATGGCGGTGCGCCGAAGTTCGGTGTGAGGGAATATACTAATGTTTGGTATCCTTGGATGAGGAAGGATGGGGATGTTGCGTTGCGACGGTGATTCTTTTCTTTTTTTTTGTTTGGGAGGTCACTTGTCTGTCTTTTCGTTTTTGCGTGGGTCGGTCTTCGTCTTTATTAAGATACCTCTTTTCAGCGTGGGAGGTCTGTTGTCTTTTGGATGTTCTCTCTTTACGCCCCCCAAATCTTCCACCCGGGATCCTGTCTTTCCGTTCTACACCTTCTCTTCCTACTTCCAAGCTTGTTTCTTGGTATATAATATCTACAATATGTCGTATGGAGCAGTCCATACCGTGAGAGTCGAACCCATTCGGATTTAGATCTAGATATTACATTAAAGAGTCGATGTTGAATTCGATTAAAATCATTTCTTTCCACATTTACCCGGTATGACGAATCACACATAATCTCTGCATGTCCGTTACCCTCTCTGCATCATTGTTGAACACAAATTCCCCTTGCTTTTTTCCTTCCTGGCCTACATTTCAAATCCCGACGCACATGGTCATTCCTCGCCCTATATGTTCGGCACGGAGATTCCGCCTCGTCCAACCCAGTGCAGGAAGGATAGCCGGAAAACCGTTGGATTTGACCCGTTTCGGGCATACAAGCATATGTCCCGTACATGTATATGCAGCACTGTCAATCCACAGCCATTGTGTTCCCATACACAGATACCTAGGTGAAAGACCATTACTCAGCATAGCTGGCCAGACCGTGCTAAGAAAAGAATTTATCCACTGCCCGGTCAATCCCTCAGATCCGTCGATCATGGGTCTTAACTTTCACGCCAAGATGAACGCTATATCTCGTATTTCTGTTGAGTTCGTATAAGATCTCGGATCTCGAACTCTCTAGTGAACTATCTAGTGCGTTTTGACATTTTCGCGGCTTCGTCAGGGGCTTTCTTGTTGTTCTTTGCGACCTCCCTTGTCCCCCCCTTCTTCTCATCTATGTCTCCATTGTTCGAGCTCACTATGCAAGAATGGCGAACCAAAGTACCTGCATGTATTAATGCAGGATCTCCTAAGACAGGGACAATGGGCATGTTAGGGGCTTAGGCTGAAGGATCGCATTGTTGGCTCTGGTACTTATGTACCGTGCGTATAATATAGCTTCGGTGATCTCTCTTTATATACTCCGTATGGCAATTGTTAGTTAATAAATAGATGGATGTGTTTAGGCAAACCATAGCTACAACACAACATATATATTGTATACGACGTACATATATATACTCCGTACCCAATATTTAATATATTCTAGATGATGAGTTCCAGGCAATAACGGACATAAAGGAATTGACATGTCGCGCTCCGGCATTTGCTTTCTTTGCTTTTGTTCCCATTGTTTCCTTTTTGCTCTTATCTATTGTTAACACGAGATCGGTGAGAGTAGAAGTACGAACAAAATAGAGATCGTCAAAAGTAAAAGAAAACATAATGGAGCCTGCCAAGTCCTAGCGTGTCGGGGTTCGGGACTTCATCCCCGGGCTCCATCAGATTTTTTATTTTTTATTTTTTATTTTTGACAGAAAGATAAAATGCCGATCCGATGTCTCAGCCTCATTGTTTCTATGGGGCATTGGATTGTGTGTTCGTTTCTGTGGGGCTAGGAGTGTAATAAGGGGGTTAAGTGACTTGTGTGTTATGCTGTAGAGTCGATATAAATACAAAATATGTGAGTCTGTGAAGAATTCGATATTACCGAGGCTTTGGTATTCAGATGTGTGCACATGTGATATAGCAGGTTGTTTCCAGGGGAAATTCCAGACGTAAATGTACTTTGGCATTGTATGTTTTCAATGTTGTATAATACACCTGTATCAAGGGAATCGTTTGAATTTACAATAGTATGCATATTTTACATTCTATTAGTCTACTCGGTGTGCGATCTAACATGAAGTGTAGAACAAAATGCTGGGATTTGCAGTATAGAAATAGCACAGCTTATTGTGTCACAGTGCGAGACACCAATCTTGATTCCAAGGCCACTCTGCGACTCTGCACGGAAAGTCGAACGGAGTAATACGGCATATGGGGCGAGTTGCATGCATCCAAGGTTGGATTGGCTTGAATTGGCATTTTACTGCAGAGTTGTGTATATTGTACGTATATATTGTACTCCGTATACTCCGTACAGTGTACTCCGTGCTAATATACCAATACCATTCATCAAACTAAAATTTACTCCGGAGACAACTTAAAGCTATCCACATCGGTTTGACATCCCCGGCGCTACAGTTCGCACTAAATTGCCAAACTCCACAATAAGCTCCAATTGACCACTGTCCTTCTTCGGCGCTGTCGAATCTCATCAGCACTAATATGAAAAGGGCAGGAGGGGCAGCAACTGCCGATATAGTTCGTGACTAATTTAATTTAAATTGGCCAATTAGACAGGGCTAAATATTATGGGTTTCTCTGCAAATGTGGCGTTTTGGAGATTTTGATGTCGGGAACTTTCGAGACCGCATTGAGGTTGTGCGAGGTGAGCGTGCAGGGATCTGGGTTGTACGGCTAAGGTTGTGTGTGTGTGTCGGACATCGTCATGCATGTCTACGTCGGATTTCTCCTACTGTGGCAGCTGCTATATGCTATAGGGCTTCCAGGATCTGTGATCCTGTGTTCCCATGGGTTCTCAATTGCATAACTTATGTTTCATTTAGTGGGCTACGGTAGATAGTCATGTCCTAACAAGAGGAAGAATCAACTGAAAACCCCATCGAAACAAATAGCAAGATCTCAATTAGAGATGATCGTTCTTGATTCCCATATCTCCATTCAAATAGCCATGATGGCTATCGACTCGGCCGTGGCTGTCGAGGGATACAAAGTCCATATCGAACTATTCCCCCATGGCGAGAATTCCGGAGAACATCAGGTTGGGCTCATCCATGAAATGGAATCCCGGAGCCAGAGCGCATCTGGTGGAATAACTAGTCAGTAAACAATCGTGTGGGAAACTGTAAACCGACAACTTACGGATCAACTTCAAAGCCTGCAATGCAGTCGTACGCTCCCTCCTTGATGCTTTGCAAGAAGTCCCAACCGTCATGGAGGTCGTAGAAGGAGACGTAGACATCAACACCGGACTTGGAACGACAAGTTAGTAGGGACTCAAAACATAGAAATACTGGCATGCAAACTTACCTCAGCCTGCTTGATCAGAATGCGTTCGAAGCTCTTCCCACCCCAGACAGGGTCAGCGGCAATACCCAAGACGTTTTCATTGTCGGTAGTCTTGAAGCCAGTCGGAAGACCACAGAGAGAAACGACGCGAGAAGCACCCCCTTGCACACGCTTCCAGAGTTCGGCGTTATCCTGCAGGCCCTCCTCGGGCATGACAACAGAGATGGTGACGTCGTTATCGCCATCCTTCAGACTGATCCCCTCGGAATGGTTCCCAAAGTATTTGACGCAGACGTCCTGATCAACGAACTGCACGATGACTTCGCCGTTCTCACTCCAGGCACGTTCAATTGCACCGCCGTAGACAAGCTGCAGGACGCTGGGGATGTCCGCCCACTCCGGAAGGTTCCCGAAAACAATCCGACGAGGAGGTCCAGCAGGGACAGCCTTGGGTGCCATCTGCTTCTGCAAGTGGAGCAAACGGACCTGCTTCATGAAATCAGCAGGAGCAGTCACACCTCTGGGTCTCTTGGGAGAGGTTGCGGACTCCTCACCCCCGGTGGATCCGGCCTTCTTGGAACCAGCGGTGGAGTCGTTATCTGCGTCCTTGCTTTCGCCAGCGGCTTTGACAGGAGCGGCCTTGTGGGGGGGCACTCTTCAGAGGCGCATGAGCGACTTCATCCTTGGGTCCAGCAGGAACAAACGGCTCAGCACGCGGATCGATGCCAGAGTTCTTCAGGCAGGGGAGGCACGCGGGGCAGTGGTACGAGAAGCAGCAGCTTGCTTGTCCTATGCAAGACCAGTGTGAGACAGGAGTGACGAAGAAAGGTAAGTGTTGTCCTCGGAAGTGACGGGGATCGAAGGGACCCGTGAACGAAAATGGACACAAGAGCAGAGAACAGGAACAAGTCGAATACAGGAGCACATGCACATGTGGAGATGACGAGGTGGATGTGGGTGTGGATGGAAGAAGGGTGCGACGTACCTTTGCGAGTTTCATCGCCTTCTCGATATCCTTCGAGGCATCACAAAGCTTACGCGGCTCATCATTAACATTCACCTGGGTGAAGCGACGGCCGTTGAGGCGAGCCGACACGGTCTTCATACCAGCGAGACGATCAGCACGAGCCTTGTTACGAACAGCAGCAGGAGCATGAGCGCTCTCCTCCAGGCTAATCATGTTGCTGTTGGTGATCACGTCGTAGATCACCTCGGTCGTGATGCGAATATCTGCTTGTCTCTGAAGAGAAATTGGAGCAAGACCGTTAGGTCCGATGACTTTGGCTTTCTCCATGATGGAACAGAGTATCCGAGTGGGGAGGAGGAAAAAAGAGAAGAGGGAGAAAGCAAAAACAATTTATGTGATGGACGCGTGGAGGTCGTGTGGAGGTCGTGTTAGGATCAATTGTTCAACTTGGGAAGGCACGTCTGGTAAATTGACGGGCTCTTTCCTTTTGAGAACATAACGGGAAGGAACATACAAGTATATACCTAGGTAAGTACGTATATGTTTATAAGGTCCTTGAATATCACCTAGGTTACTTAGGTATAGATATTCTAGGATACCATTCCCATAAGGAACATATCATGTAACATGTTCACATAGAACAGGAAAGAACATCCCACTTGTTCTGGGTATGCTAAACAAAGAGATCTTCCGGTGAACAAACAGTGCTCTTTATTGCTCTCCTAGAGATTGCTTAGGCTTCTACCAATCTGTCTCATTGTGTTATAGGATATCTTGTTCATCAGCTATTACAGACACTAGCCAAATCACTGGAACGGGCTGTGATACCTTTTAAGCATGATCTTCTTGGGTCTTCTACTAGCTCCTCCAAGCTAGCAAGGGAACTTCAGCTACTCTAGTCTCAGGTAACCAGTATCTGCAATATAAAACCTTCTGGGTCTAATGTAAACAGAGTGTGGATTGCCCTTTCGAGTTAGTTTCCCCTCTTTGTCCCCTTTCGAGGCTTATGCTCTGACATTATATCTCAACCTCACATCCATATTCTTTTGCCTCACAAACCACGCATTAACAATCTCCCATTCTGCACTCGGATCATCGAGTTCAACCTAGAAAGGGCCCTAGTTAGAGTCGAACCTCATTGTGGAACCATATCCTCACCTGATATCTTAGAAACAGCGATGGAATCAGCTTATATATCTCAAGCAGACTGATATTCTTGCCAATGCAAGTCCTCGGTCCAGCCCCGAAAGTAAATGTCGCACGAAGCATCTTCTGCTTTCTATCCTGGAAATCAGTCTCAGACTCAGTATCCATCTTGAGCCACCGTTCCGGAACAAATGACTCCACATCCTCCCCGAAGACACGGTGACGATGTATTATCCACGGATTAGCACCAACTATCGTGCCCGCCGGTAGAAATGGGCCATCAGGAAGCTGGAGTCCCTCGGCGGGCACGACCCGCTCCAGCATCAATCCCACGGCCGGGTGAAGACGCAGTGCTTCTTTGATCACTGCATCGAGGTAAGGGAGTTGCTCTTGGCTTTGCTTCCACGAGACAGGTAAAGAGATCCGATTTTCTTCCAAGGCCATGGTGAGCTCCTGGTGAAGCTTCGTACTCGCTCGGCGGTCCTTGAGGGTATAATAAAGGATTGCTCGGAGGGAAATCGCCGTCGTGTCGGAGCCAGCATTCATATTGCTGATCGTATATGAGAAGACCTGGTTATCGTTTACAATAGTCGGGTGCTCCTTTTTCGCTTCCAAAAACCGATCGAGGAAGTCCTTGTGTGTTTTGGCCACTGGTGATGTGCGTTGCTGGTTCAGTCGTTCATCTAGTCGTGCGCGAGCAAAGCGAGCTACAGCTCCGGTTGATCCCCCTCCGAAAAGGCTCCTGAGTGGGTTCTTGATGAAAAGGTAGTCAAGCCATGGCATCTGCCCAATCTATCTCTCAATCTAATTAGCTTTATTAATTGCCTCATTTGTCGCCATGCCAACCTTTCCGGAATAGTCGAGCATGTGCTCCAACGCGACGATGATACCGTCGATATCATTCCCTTTCTCCAGGAACCCAAGTGGCTTACTGAATGTCAATTCTCCAATGACATCAAATGCATCTTTTCGAGTTACATTAGCTCCTGTTCTCATGTTTCACGGGGAGAAATGGAATACTTACAGTATTGTAGCCAAGCAGCAATATCGCATACTTTAGCTTCAGCTACAAACTCATCCAGTTTCCCAAATAGGGTATGGATAGTCCTATCGACAAAAGGCTCGAATTCGGTCAGAGTGCTCATCGAGTAAGCCGATGAGACAGGCCTTTTAATAGCAGCATGGAAATTTTCATCGGTTGTACTAAATAGTGTAGGCGTCGGTCTGCCTTTGGCAAGCTGCTGCTGAACAGAATAGAAATGGGTCTTGGGAATGTTAGCGAAAAGGCCCGTCAGTTTCTTGCAACTTGGAAACACCTTTTCATATCCCTTATTAATGCCATATATAGTTTTCAGGGCATCCAAATTCCGCACACTGACCACGTTAGGTCCTAGTCGAACATAGTCCCCGTGTTTCTGGTGGAGGTTGTGAAGCGTCACTTCTGCACGACCATTGGCGACATCGATGAACCTCCAAAGGTTCGTTATCTTGGCTAGTAATGGTCCGGGAATTGACGCTACTCCTGGTTTGAGATAATTGCGACTGAAGTGGAATAAGGCAAAGGTGACAAGGATGGCTGGTAGATGCGTCCAGATTGAGATCAATGCTTCTGAGGTGATGGCCATGGTGAATTCGCCAGTTATTGCCTCCTAGTGTTAGTATACCAAGTAACCATTAGGCATACTGTCCATGGATATATACCTTATCTGGGGAAATGCGGGGAAATGGGGGAATTCCGCCCTTATAGCGATCTGCGGAACGGGCCTGGTCTGTAGACTTCTATTCGGATGTCGGCACATCATGATATTTCTCTCGCCAATAGAAACGACTAACCTCTTTCTACCTCAGCCTTTTGCTCCTGTTTCCCTCACCGCCGTGACTACCTCGATGGGTATCCTAGAGGAGGGAATTCAACTCCGGTTCCAGGTGTTTGCTTTGATACAAGAGAGCGTAGTCTTAGCTAAAGTAAGAGGTATAAACATTGATGTATTATTCATTTATTTAATGCCCCTAAAGACGTCTCCAACAAAACTATCAGTACACCAAAGACACCAAAAGGTAAGCAAATCTATATGACAAGAATGGGTAGAATGGGTATCAATTCCAGAACATTAGCATCTATGACGGGACAGGGATGTTCTCGAATCCTTTCTGTCCAGGCTTACGGTCTTCAACAATAACTTGAAGGCCACGACGACCACAATAGCCATCATTGCCCGCAACCCGATCAACGACCTGGAAAGAGCCGCCACCATCCTGCGCAGCATCCGGAACCCACACAGTCTCCTGTACAATTTGACCGGGGACTTCCGCACGACGGGGATTGTGCCAGGGCAGACCGACAAGGTGATTGCCAAGGTTGTGAAGGAACGAGTACAGCCCCTCGAAGCGGCGGGTGACTCCGAGCCAAGAGAGGGTGCGGTGGTCATATGCCGTCCGCACGAACGGGTTCATGTAGATGCCCGTATCGGTGATCTCGTCGACGTTGGTTTGCGGGTCTTGGATGTCCGCGTGAATAAGACAGCATTCAGACGCCTCCCAGAAGAGATCGTGTCCGGAGCGGAAACGTGCTGGGTTGGGTGTTGTAGGCGGCGAGCCGGTTTGGAAGTATTTGGCATCAAACGCCACCATTCCGCCCAGCAGCTGCGCACTCGCACTGCGTCTTTGCCGGCTAACACATCGCTTCGGCTCTCGCCTTTGCCGGATGATGTGAACCATGGGTAGAAGGGGAGACCCATGCTGTAACCTTCAAGATCGCGGGTGGCGTATGTGTCGTAGAATTTGAAGGGGTTGTCGAAGTCTACGGCGCAGGCTGCACGGTATCGGGCAATGCCGTCTTCGTTGGCATTTGTTGAGAATAAGAGCTGGGGCACATCGGCGGGATGGAAGAGGATATCGTTCAGATAGAGTAGCTTATCGAATTTCATATCCGGGTGGTCGGTCAATGGCTGTAGTGCTCGGTTCCGAACCTGGGCCAAATATTCGATGCGCTTGATTCGCTTTGATCCACCGGGAATGGTCACAGTCGGTACAGTCTTCGGGTCCAGGTGCTTTTCAGACACAATGGATTTCTGGCACTGCACTTGTTCCTCTAACGCGCGCAATGCGCGCTCTCCCTCCTCGCCGCTGTCATTTTCGTAGATACTCAGAAACACATTGTCAGACCCAAGCAGATCAATCAATTCCAGAAGTTGTGTTCCCCATTGGCCCTGCGCAAGCTCGCCACCACTATCATACAGACTTGCTGCAATGAAGACCTTCTCCTGGCGGGGATTGCCTCGTCCGGGATATGAGCTCTCGAGTAATGATTTCCGGAGTGTAGAATAATGCGCGGGCAGGTGGGTATACGAGGGGAAGAGTATCGATGTGAAAAGCGCTAGAACAAAAACGATGCCGGCGACGACGGGGAGGTAGCAACAGCGGCGGATACAAAAACGTCGAGAACAGCTCGGTCGTGGCGTGCCTGCGAGTGCCGGTCTGGAAGTGTTGTTCAGGCGGCGATAACCCGCTGCTGCCGTCGAAAAGATTCGAGACAGCCAGGGCAGTTGACGTTCGCCAAATTTGGATGAATAAGGGACCTGTGCTTCAAAATCGGCTTCATCGAGGTTGAACGTCCCCTGTGAATCAATTGAGGATCGTGAGGCAAGCTCCCATTCATCGGGATGAAGTAGTCGTGTAGTCATGGTAGTTTGTGTCACCAAAGGGGTATACACCCTTGGGACTATCTTCAACTGCAAATTGGTCCAATAAGCTGGCACGCTGCAGCCATGATTGATGATAGTCAAAAAGTAACCCGGGGGCCTCACGGGAGAACTTACATCATCAACATGGTCACGTGGTACTGATCGAGTAGATGATGTACATCGTGGAGCTCAAATGTTTCTGGACTTCAAGGAATATGGTTGTAAATAGTGAAATAAGATATAGAACAAAAGTGTTAACTCAAGAATTTCTCCGTCCTTGGCTTTTGGGTGAATTCACTAGAAAACAATTGCGCGACATGATCTTCCGATAAATGTCCGGTATGTAGTGACGTAGCTGTAGTCGGGGCACTGCCTGTTTTGCTCGCATAGGTGAGATCATTTATCTTTCTGCTCACTATCTGAGTTCAGTTAGTCTGGAATCCTCAATCTTCCACTTCAACCACCCTCTTGTCCAAATATATGACAGACGGCGTGGTGACTGAACATACTCCATCTGTGATTCTACCACTGCTTCCCCGCATTCCACATCCCACCATGTCGCAATCGCAATTCAAATTCGCCAACTCAGATGCGAAAGTGCCAGGCAACGGTACTTTCCCTCCAGAGTTTGTCATCAAAGCACCAGCTTCCACAGATATATGGGCCAAGCCGCCCTCCACCATCCGCTTCTCAGCCCCGATCTTGTACAAGTCTGTGCCGCTGAAGTCCTTCAAGCGGATCCGCGTCGCCTTCAATGCCCTTTGGGAGAAGCAATATGATCAGGGCGGTGTGATCCTGGTTCTGAATACCGCCGATGGTGGCCAGAAGTGGGTGAAGAGCGGCATTGAACTCACCCACGGCAGACCCCACCTCAGCGTCGTCGCCAAAGATAACTGGGCGGACTGGAGCTTGATCCCAGTGCCCTCAGGCGGTGGTGCAGCAACTCTCGAGTTGGTCAAGGAAACAGACAACAGTCTGTGGATCTATCTTGTCGAGGGCTTGCAGAAGTCCCCTATCCGGGAGGTCACTTGGGTCTTTGACGAGGAGAATGTGAAGGACTTCTGGGTTGGTGTCTATGCTGCCCGGCCATCAAGTGAGGGCAAGGACTTTCCCGTCAATTTTGGTCATTTGATTATCGATCAGGAGTAGATTAGCGGGATGTTGTTGGTTATATGCCCCAGTAAGTAGATGGCGATGGCCACTGCGAAGAACAAACATTATATATTGATGGATAGGATAATTGAAATGAAGTACAGCAATACTATTTTTGGCCATAAACTATAATGGAGCACGGCAGGACGTTTATCATCTATCCATGTAGAATTAAAGATACCGGCTTGCTGCAGATATTACGGCTCCACAGAATTTCAGGTCCACCCGTGCATGTCCTAAAGATGACTGATATGGCGCAGATCAGCCGACGTGCGGATAGGTTCTAGTCAGTAGAATTAATCTATTCCCATAATCATTGTTCGATTCCTGTCATGGCGGATGATCAGCCATGTTGGCGCACTTGTGGTTATCAGGTGCATTAACGGAGCAATTAATGATAACTTGAACACACATCTACAAGTACACTGTGCATGTTGAATTCAGCGTTGTTAGGCTGGACTTGGCATTGTGTCGGATGTCTATAACATACATTGTGCTCCTGTACCTATATGCGGATTATATAGACTTTGGGTCCACCTTCTGTTCATGTTCTCTTTTCTCTTTTCATAATGCTGCCCTATATTTGTACACTGACTTAGACAGAATATCACACCTTCCCAATTGGAGTTATCTGATCCTACTATGCCTAGTGCGGTGTAATCCCGACAATCGGGTGTATGCGCTGCACAAGCCCTATTTCGGATGCTGAGGTCATACCAGTCGCGTGTTAGTATGACACAAGTGGAGAAAAGTAGAGATCCCTTCCTTTTGTTCCGTTCTTCCGTCCCCTTTTCAAGTATATTTTCCACTATATTGCATAAAGTATACCAAATATTACATTGAATGTAGGAGGGAAAATGATATATCCCCAGGTCAAGTGACCGGCTCTCCATTCCGGCAATGACATGATGTTTCCCTAGGTCAGAGTTAATTAACGGGGGTCTCAATGCATGTTGCTGCCAGATAGTGGAGACATTTCGTATATATTATGTAGTAATGAAGTTCCCTCTTTGCTAAAAAATAAAAGAACTTCACAAATAAGACAGTAACAAAGATCAAAAGGGAAATCAAACTTTCATCTTATCTGATGAGGTGAACCAGGGAAAAAGTGACTTGGCAGTACCACAGCAGTACCACAGACTCAGCCCATGCCACTAAGTGAACTGATGTATTCCGTGGGTACCCCTCCAATTGTAACATTCCCGTGCCCGGAACTCCACCTTTTTTTTAATTTTCCTCTTTGACACATCTCTCCATACCTTTGAGGAATAATACTCTGGGAAGCACCTGGGTATTTCAACATCCTAGAATGATGACTGGATTAAGACTGTGACCTCGGGACACTGTTTCTTAAACTGTCTTGGTGCAGCATCCTGGAATGCTAGAGATGAGCTGAGATCGGACCTCAGCCTCTCACCTCGTCTCTCTGCCACCACCGACCCCATCAACGTGCATAAGTGCGACCGACGATCGGGCTTGGTGTCGTTTTGCCCAGCGAACCCAAGACTTGCAAGCCTGAACTCTTCAAGACCTGTTTCCCCTTACATTTGGGCGTCTCCCCTCCGAAGCACGGCGGATCTACCCATCTGCTAATCTGCCCCATAGCTGCCTGCTCGATCCTGCTTCTGACTTACAATAGCCCTTCATGGGTCGACCCCCAAGGCAAGCGCGCTTCCACAACTTTTTACATATCGCGCCCCATATTTATTTTCTTCTTTTCCTGTCCTAATCCGGTCTCCGATTCGCTGTTGGCATCTCGTGTTGTCGTTTCTTTTTCCCTGTGGATCTGACTGGTTCGGGCTACTGGGCTGAAGAGCGGAAGTACTTACTCATTATTAGAGCAGGGGTTCTTTTTCCCTTTTATGTGATGCCCCTGCCGCTACTTCACTTCTGATGTCGCATGAACTCTTTTTTTGATGATCTGTTTCCCGCTTAATCGCCGCTTTTAAGGTCGCTGTCTTTTGTATATGGTTTCGACCAATCCCAGACCGAACTCTCTTGCCGGTTATTCTTATCTGGACGCTTTCCGTTAGAGAATACTTTTGTTGAACGTATACGATCTTGTGGTAACGGTGCATCGGTCACGAGATGCCACTTCTCGATCCACGCTCAGGGCCGTCCTACGGCACTATCGAACACGAAAACGCCAGAATGGAGGACGAAAGGGATCAACTGTTGCAGGATGACTGCGAGGTCGAGGGCCAGTCTAGTGGGCTGTCCACACCGGATGAAATACAGGAGGGAGTCCAAAAGATTGAAGCCATCAATCTGACTTGGACAACTAAGTCTTTAATGATAGCCTACGTCAGGTTCGTGTGGCTTGCAGTCCCGTGCTTTTGCTGAACCCCTACTGACTTAGCGCGAAGTATATTCCTCATGGCATTCTGCACGTCGCTGGAAGGTCAGACTGTGATGTCGCTGTCTGCATATGCGACGAGTTCATTCAGTAAACATTCATTGATCTCGACCGTCCTCGTTGTCCAAAATGTGGTCAATGGTGAGTTTATTACCCCGCAAAAATGAGCCGCTGCTAATCGTTAATCGATCTATAGCTGTCATCAAACCCCCTATGGCTAAAATCGCCGACGTATTCGGTCGCTTCGAGGCTTTCTGTTTGAGCATCCTTATATACGTCCTGGGATACATCCAAATGGCTGCCTCTACCAACGTCCAGACCTACGCTTCTGCCCAAATCTTCTACTCCGCCGGCTCGACGGGCTTGCAGATCCTCCAACAAGTCTTTATCGCCGACAGCAGTGACCTGCTCAACCGTGCCTTCCTCGCCCTCCTGCCCGAATTCCCATTCTTGGTTACGGTCTGGCTCGGGCCGACCATTGCGGGGGCGGTGCTGCGCACTTCCTCATGGCGATGGGGTTATGGAATGTGGGCTATTATCTTGCCCGCATCCTTCCTGCCACTCGCCCTCACGCTGCTATTCAATCAACGGAAAGCCCAGAGATTGAATTTGATCAAAAAGCGGACCAGAAGACGGACTGACTTGGGCAGCATCATGCGTCGGACCTGGTACGATCTGGACGTGGGTGGACTGGTCCTTTTGTCGGCTGCCGTCACATTAATTTTGGTGCCTTTGACTCTCGCGGCCAACGCAAAGAACGGGTGGAAGAATGCCAGTATTCTGGTCATGATTGCACTTGGTGTTGTTTGCCTGTGTCTGCTACCGCTCTGGGAGACTTCGCGGAAATTGGCACCCAAGCCCCTGCTCTCTCTCCACCTCCTCAAGCAGAGGACTGCTCTTGCGGGCTGTGCATTGGCGTTCTGGTATTTCAGTAAGTTAAATATTCTCTCGGCTTTAAGATGTCCTTGCTAACCTTACCTAGTGGCCTTCTACTTTTCCGTTCAGCCCTATCTGTATTCCTACCTGCAGGTTGTACAAGGGTACGACGTCGCCACTGCCGGGCGCGTCACCCAGACCTTTTCTTTCACCTCAACCATTGCTGCATTCAGCGTATCGCTGCTTATCAAGTACACTCGACGATACCGCGTCTACATTACCATCGGATGTGTTGTGTACATGAGCGGCCTAGCCCTGATGCTCTTGTACCGAGGCGAAGGAGCCTCGCATTTCCAAGTCCTCGGCACACAAATCATAGTCGGCATCGGAGGCGGTCTAATTAACGTGCCCGTCCAACTGGGCGTCCAAGCCTCCGCCAGCCACCAGGAAGTCGCAGCAGCCACTGCGATGTTCCTGACTTCAATGGAGATGGGTGGTGCAGTGGGTGCCGCTATCTCAGGAGCCGTTTGGTCCTCTGCCATTCCACACAAACTTCTCCGCTACCTCCCCGAGGAAAGCAAAGGCCAAGCTGCTGAAATCTTCGGCAAACTGACCACTGCTCTGTCGTACCCAATGGGATCTCCAACTCGCATTGCCATCAACCGTGCGTACCAAGAGACCATGGACAGGCTGTTGACACTGGCTGTCATCGCCACGCTCCCCTCATCCCGCTGAGTCTTCTCATGGTCAACTACAAACTTGACAAGGTAAGTTGCCAAACAGTGTTTTCTGATGATCTCCTCTAACTTGATTCTAGATGGGCTACGGTAGTCCCAAACGCCGGAGTGACCCGGCTCCAGTTGAGGCAGAGGCAGAGCCCAATTCGGATGATGGACACTCCAAACGAACCTAAACCCCAGCATTCCTGTGTGCATTTCACCGCACACGACGATCACGATCTTACGAATTGAACTTTTTTGTGTGGCTTATTTTATGGCTTAATTTTGCATCTCCATACAATCCAGCAAGCGGCGTTTTGAGTTTTTTGAACAAGGTGCAACACATCCTCGATGTATTCTGTTCACCCGGGCGATGAGTTAGTCCATCATTTGCATTGGCGTTGCTGTTTTTATGTGTTCATGGGTTTAAAGGTACATACTGTATCTATCTCCAAGACTGTAACAGTTCAATAGACTTGGATAGGTGTCAATCTCGAAAATTGAATACCCAAGCGGTAGCGAAAGACTTGCCCTACTACATTGCACTGCCCTGCACTACACTACACATTATGGTAGTTTGTATCGTCGGCTAAGATACATCAGTCCATGTCGACTCCGGGCCATAGCCCACAACCTGGTCAAGCACAGTCGGCACACTCCAAAGCCGTCGGTGGTTCCGATCCACACGACAGCCGACTTCCAAGACCGACACCAGGCGATTATTCCGATCCGGCCGGCTTGCCGCTCTAAGACCCTCGAGCTGTAACATGTATCTCTCATTTCCTGCAGTTACCGCCTGTTTCTCTGGAGTCAGAAATAGGGTTAATTCCCCTAGCTTCGCCCACTAGACAAGGTACTTTGCATTGGCTTATACCAGGATCGAGTATCCCGGTCTAATTCAGCCCAAACTTCACGCATCGCAGCCTTATATCCACTTCTATCCGTCACTGCGGGAAGGATGTGGATTTGGATTTGACTTTATTCCAAATGTTGGAGGCTAACTAGACTTGTGCATATTGAATTGACCCTCATCTTTTCTTTTTCTTGTCTCCCCCCAACCCATCCCACAACCCTTACTCAGCTCGTCGAGCAGGCCTCATACCACGTCTCTCCACGTATATTACCCGTGCATGTACCTGCATATATGCATGCATGCATACCAGATACCGCGACGGAAGGGCTTGAGGACCCATGAGATACGGACTTGATCAGCTTGGCACCCCTGGCATGTGCATGTGCTTACTGTAAAGGTATATTGCACCCGTGGACGGAGGTGCTCCGTATGGAGGACGCATGCTGCGATATACGGATGTCATGTCAGCTGTCAGCCAGCAATCCATTAGCTAGGTGACCTAGATAGGTAGGTACTCATCCATGTGCATACCTAGTTAGTAATGTGAGTCACCGATCTGGGCAATGACCTCAGCCAACGCAGTGAAGGCGATAGTTGTGGAGAGACTGGATCTGGATCGGGCTGCCAAGCTGTGATGGGAACAAGCCACTTACGGATGATGGAGTAAGTAAGAATTAGAGTATGCTGGATTGGGTTTGAGTGTATGAAACTATGTCTGGATTGTATTTTTTTCTTCTTCTATCTTGGATCTCTCATAAAACGGGTTTCTTGAAAAGGGGAGATTTGGGGCTGAGGGGAGACGGGAGACCGGGAACCCGTGAATGGTGAAACGGAATTGAAATTGGGGACTTTTTATTTTATTAACTTGCTTTTTTTCCCCTTTTCTTTTCTTTCGTGTCACGGGAAAAAGGTGAAAGAAAATGAGTTGACTCGAGAGGAAAAGGGGGGAAAAAACTCCGGGTCTCCTTTTGTTCGTGCTTTTAAGACCGGGCTTATCTTATGACTTACAACATAGAGTAGTATTGGGGTTATGTTTAGTACTTGGATGGAATTCTGTAATGTGATTTCGTAGAGACCTTAATTCGAGTCTGCTAGAAAATAGAGAAAATAGAGAATAATCACAGTGCTTAGCCGCCAGCGGCTGGCCGTTGATATAGAGGAGAGTCGAGGGGAGGAGGGAGATTGAGGGAGAGGGAGACTGATACCGTTTCTCTTGGCAGAAATGAATGACATTAAGAAAATTATTCTAATTTTCATAGAAATTATATATTACATATAAATTAGATATAAAATGTACATATAAAAATATAAAAAAAATATTCTAATATCTAATAAATACATAGACAGTCAAGCGAGAAAAAAAAAGCTGTACGGTGTATCGAGACTAAGGTGTCTAGACTCCATACTCTGCGGGTTGCCCCATTCAATCCAGACCACAGCTTCTTCCTCCCTTTTTGTCTCCCACACCTCTTCCTCTTTAACACTCTTACATCAATACTTCTTCAAAATGGTCGTCGCTACCATCAAGTACGCTATCCTATTTCCGCTTCCCCTTTACCTCCCAGATCTCATGGCTAACAACTCAGATGTGTCGTGGTGGGGGACGGTGCAGTAGGAAAGACCTGCCTGCTCATCTCATACACAACGAACAAGTTCCCTTCGGAATATGTCCCCACTGTCTTTGACAACTACGCCGTGACCGTGATGTAAGTCATCATCCGAAACCCCCCCTTCCCCGAGAAAAAAAAATTATACGTCCCAACCTCAAAAGGATAACACTTCTAACCGATCGCTCTCCAAATTCAGGATCGGCGATGAGCCTTACACTCTTGGACTGTTCGATACCGCCGGTCAAGAGGATTACGACCGCCTGCGCCCGCTCTCTTACCCGCAGACTGACGTGTTCTTGGTCTGCTTCTCCGTCACCTCACCTGCTTCATTCGAGAACGTCCGCGAGAAGTGGTTCCCGGAAGTCCACCACCATTGCCCCGGTGTTCCCTGCCTGATCGTCGGCACCCAGACCGATTTGCGCGATGATGCCGGTGTGCGGGACAAGCTCGCCCGCCAGAAGATGTCCCCCATCCGCAAGGAAGACGGTGACCGGATGGCTAAGGAACTTGGCGCTGTTAAATACGTCGAGTGTTCTGCCCTGACACAGTATAAGCTGAAGGATGTCTTTGACGAGGTACGCCGAATCTTGCATTTTTTTTGCTGCCCGATATCTCCACACCGCCACTAACCCGTTTTGTTTCTACTTTCTAGGCTATTGTCGCGGCACTCGAGCCCGCGCCCAAGAAGAAGTCAAGGGGCTGCCGCTTGCTGTGAACTTACCTTTCACGGACTTATCGCAACAGGTTGGTCCCGAGTGCGGATATGTTGCACTTGGGTTGATGCCTGGTTGACGCGCGCCTCGAAGCAGCTACGATGGAATGAACCTGTTTATTTCTCTTTTTCTAACTCTTTCAACGTTCTACTGGGCGGCAAATATTTCTGGCTGGACTGGTTTTCTGGGATATCCAAATTCGGCGACAAAAAAAAAAAGGGGGGGAGTGTGGTCTTGTATTATGGCTAGCGATGCTATCTGAAGCGTTCCATATCTACGCTTTCCAGTTGAAAATGGCTTCTGTGCTTTTTCTTGATCCCCTTTTCTCTTATTTTTTTTGTCTCTGTTCGCATATCCCGGTTTGAGATCTAGCCTCTCTAATTTGCTGTGTCCTTTTTTTTTTCCTGCTCTCTATCTTCGCTTCTTTTCTTCTTGCTGCGCCTGGCTGCGTCTATCTGCCGTCTTCAATGACCTGGTCTGGAGTTACCCTCTATTCTCGCCTTCACCCTCATTCTTCTCCTTTACGAACTACAGCGACAGCAATTTTGACCTTCTCCTCCCCTTTTTGTCGCGTCGGCTACACTTCCATCCTACATATTACCTTCTCCGCACCCGGCGCTTGCACCTCTTTGATCGTCTCTCTCGGCGTTGGACGTCAGGGCGTCGTGTTTTGGCTGGACGGTTTCCGTCCCGTTGTCCCATTGTCCCATATCCCCATATCCCCATATCCCCCTGTCCTTTTGCTTTTTCACGTGCTATTTATGTACCCCCGACTTTGCAACCACCGGACTATGAACTTGAGCTTGCTGTACCCTTCTCTTGCAGATCCGGCTTCTTCTCTGCGTCTTTTTTTTTGCCTCTGCGGACTCGCCGTTTATTCCAATCTGATCTAGAATCGCCCATTACTCGTCTGCACGTGATCTTGATACAAGCATCTCCGTTCATGTTGCGATCTCTTGCAGTCTTTCAAGTTGTGTCTCACTGAAGAGCAACGTTGTTTCTGGGTCTTAGAAAGTCACAGACTCCAATTCTAGTTCTATGAAGTTATTTGGTTGAAGATATACATATACATTACTCAGTAGTATGGTATGTACCTAGGTACTTTCAAAGTTGAGGTCCGAGTCTCTGAGATCATAGGCTAAATGTGCTCACCTGGGCTCTACTGCCATGACATCACTCCAGTTTACAAATATCATGGATTCAAAACATTACATGTCATTCATTCTTCAACTTCATTCCACATACATCTCGTAGATCTTAGATCTGTCCAAATTCAAAGCTCATCCTTACTCTCCTTACTCTGCTTCTTCTTCTCCTCCTGCTCCATCCACCCATACCACCCACCAAGCTCCTCATCAACACCAGACTTAACAAGACTAGTAATAATCTCAAAGGCAACCTGCGCCGCCGCAAGAGCAGTAGTCTCCCCCTTGTTATCATAAGCCGGCGAAACCTCCACAATATCCGCCCCAACAATATTCAACTTCTCCAACCCACGCAGAATCCGAATAAACTCACGCGTAGTCCAACCACCAGGCTCAGGCGTTCCCGTCCCGGGCGCCGTAGACGGATCCAAAACATCAATATCAACAGAAAGATAAACAGGCTGCTCAGGATCAATCCCAGTGCGGGCAATAATCGTCTCAACAACCCCCATAGGCCCAAGCTCATCAATATCATCCGCATGAACCCGAATAAATCCCTGCTCAGGCCCGGGATTCGTATAATCCCCGGCATCAACCCCAGTAAGCCGCGTCCGCAGTCCCGCATGCGCAGAAGTAGAATTACAAATCAGTCCCTCCCGACTCGCCTTGTGGAAAAACGACCCGTGGTTAAACTGCGTCTGCTCAGACTGCCAGTACGCGCTGTACCGCACAGGATTCCAGGTGTCCAGGTGCGCATCGAAGTGCACGACTGTTATCGGCTTCTGGTAGATCTGGTGCAGGGCGCGTAGCGCCGGCAGCGCAACGCTGTGGTCTCCGCCCAGCGTTACGAGCTTGGGGTGTGTAGCGCCGACCCCGTTCGCCTTGGGCGCTTTGTTCACGATGCTGCGCGACCCGAGCTCGAGGAATGCTTCGTACATCTGTCGCTCGGCTAGCCCGTTGTCGAACGGTGTGATCGGGATGTCGCCGCAGTCGGTGATCTTCGCCCATGATTGGTATGGGTTCAGGCCGGCACGCGTGTTGTAGCTTGTTGCGGCCATTTGGCGGGCGCTTGCGGCGCGGATTGCGCGTGGTCCGAAGCGGGCGCCTGGGGGGTTTGTTAGTTGGGGGTTCTGGGGTTGGGTTCATGCTGATACATTGGGAAGGGGCTTTGCTTTCGTACCTGGTCGGTAGCTGACGGCTGTGTCGAATGGTGCGCCAATAATGGCAATGTCGTAGTGCTCATCGGGCTCAATTAGACACTTGACTGGCTTCAGGTGGGCGAAGCTGGCAATGCCGGAGAAGGACCACTGAATTGTTACATGTTAGGAATCGATCCTCTTTTCTTGGATGTTGTAGTATCGTACCTCCTGATCCCACTTCTTTAGCAATTCCGCCCGCTCATGTTCGGGCACTACCTCGCCGTTATCGTGGTGCGCGCAGGAGGCCGCGGAGCCGGCCAAAGCCAGTGTAAGGAAGGTCTTCCAAGCAGGCATGACTGGAGTTATAGGGATGAAGGAAAAGTAAAATTGGAAATGACGATATTTATTGTTCTACATATCTCTGTCTCGTCGAGTTTCCTGAAGCAGCAGGTGTTGTAAAGGGAAAGACGAACAGATGGGGTTGTCCCGATCGTGCAGACTTTCCCTTCTTGGCTTTGGCCCGCTTTTCGTTTCTTTCTTTTGACAACTCCTCCGATAGCTTTTATACAGAGCTACGATGCAATGCGACGAGTTGTTGTAACCGGTCTTGGGGCGGTGACACCGCTAGGTGTAGGTGAGTCGCTTTGCTATTTTAGTTTGTTGTTTTGTTGGCATTGGTAGCTCCAAGGTCGTCCTTGGAGCTCACATGGGCATGTTATCGGGGACAAAGTGCATGCAACTTTGCAATTACGCAATACCGCAATTCTGTCTGTCAGCACAATCTCTGCGAGCGCGCTCCATATCCATCTTCGCTTATCCGGGAGCCCATGCATGATATCCGATATCCCCGGACTCCGGCTCTCGAGCTCTCTCTGCGTTCCCCACTTCCCCCTCCGGAAGGGGAAGGTTGTGACAGCCAATGACGGAGGGCATGCAGATTAGTGCGGGACACTTGGAGATAAGAGGCAATACCTGCCGTATACATACTGGGTTTCACTATACGCGATTGATTGGGCTTTGTGTTTGCAATATCTAAATGCTACTATGACTAACACCTTGCTTGGCTTCAGGGATTCGGCGCACGTGGAAGCGTTTGCTAGATGGCCATTGTGGCGTTGTTAATGTGAAAGATCGCGATGCACGGTATGCTGAGCAGCCCTGCCAAGTTGCTGCTGTTGTTCCACAGGGCAGTCGCGAGAATGGGGGGTGGACTGCCTCCGAATGGTTGAGTCGAGTTGTACGCTTTTCCCCTAACTATCTTCACTTTTTGATCTGTGTTTTGTTTGCAATGCTGATCTTTTGGGGCCGGATAGGAGGAGCGGAAGATGGCTCAATTTGCGCAGTATGCCATGGCGGCGACAGAAGAGGCGCTTCAAGATGCGGACTGGAAGCCTGAACCTTTTGAGCAGAGGGAGGCGACGGTATGTGTGGGAGCACGCGCCAGTTAGAAGGCTACGCTAAACACTTTGATAGGGAGTCTGTCTGGGATCAGGCATTGGAAACTTTGACGAAATCTACAACACGGTTATTGCCTACGACAAGGGGGTAAGTTTCTTCTATCGTACATGATCTAGGGAAGCCTACGACTAACTTGTTGCACAGGGCTACAAGAAGGTCAATCCACTGTTCGTGCCAAAGCTGCTGATCAACCTTGGCGCTGGGCATATTTCCATGAAGTACGGGTTCATGGGCCCGAGCCATTCCGCAACGACGGCTTGCACGACTGGTGCCCATTCGATTGGCGATGCAGCTCGCTTCATTGCCTGTGGTGATGCCGATGTGATGGTCGCGGGTGGCGCCGAGTCCTGTATCCATCCTTTGGCCATTGGTGGCTTTGCGCGCGCAAGAAGTCTAGCGACGGAATTCAACGACACTCCAGAGAAGGCCTCACGGCCATTTGATGCTGACCGTGCAGGCTTTGTGGTTGGCGAAGGTGCAGCCGTGATGATTCTTGAGGTATGTTTCCTGCCTCTTATGCGAATACTACAACCTGATACTGATGTCTGAAATATAGGAACTAGAACATGCCCTCGCAAGGGGAGCGCGGATCTATGCAGAACTCAAAGGGTACGGCTGCTCTAGCGACGCACACCATATGACCTCGCCTAAGGAAAATGGCGAAGGCGCGTTCATGGCTATGAAAAAGGCCCTTAAGCAGGCCCAGTTACGCCCTGCTGCAGTTGACTATGTCAATGCACATGCAACTTCGACCATTGTCGGCGACGCTGCCGAGAACGCTGCTATCAAAGCACTTCTGCTTGGCGCTGATGGCAAAGATAAGGCTGCTGATGTGAACGTTAGCAGCACAAAGGGTGCCCTTGGTCACCTGCTTGGCGGTGCTGGAGCTATAGAAGCTTTGATCAGTGTACTTGCAATCCATGAGGTGAGTTGCAGTTGTGCACTAGACGTACTGTGCTGGACCTTGCGCTAACCAGGAACAGAATACCATGCCACCTACTATCAACCTAGACCGCTTGGCTGATGGGTTTAATTGCAACTATGCGCCGAAAGATCCCCAGTCCCGACAGATTGATGTTGCCTTGACAAATAGCTTTGGCTTTGGCGGCACAAACAGTAGCCTTTGCTTTGCAAATTATTCATGATTCTTGTTTCTAGCATGCAATATCGTACGATATTTTTGTTTCAACTACAACTATCTGGTTTTTTAGGGCCAGAGGCTTGGCAGGAATCGCTGCCTGGGAGGAATCGCTGCCTGATTGATCTGAGCGACCAACAATGTATTATTGGAACAGATTGGTTGAAAGAAAATTGATACCCTCACTCATTGGCCATTTTCAACAATGAATGAAAATATTACGCTCAAAGCACAGTTAGATGTCTAAATGTCTAGTTATTCAGTAGATCAATAGATGGCACGTGACCGACCCTAATGCGGAGCCCCAGGCCGACCTTGACTCCGGAGACTGAACTCATTCCTTGATAACCACCTCCCACGCCATTTCAAAGGCTCTCTGAGTGACAAGAAATCGTTCTGTCTCTCGGTAATCTTTCACTTTGCGCTCACCATGGCGAACAATGGTGACCCCGGTCAAGGTACGCAATACCTGGTTCCCTGCCAGAAGCGCAAAACGCCTGAGATACTTTGACATCAAGCTCGGCGCATCTAGAGTTTTTAAATGGTCTGAGCTAATTATATGTTTGTTGACAGGACGGGGAAGTCTGGTTGATGCGTCCGGGTACACCTTCACGGACAAGGATACCAAACCCGGCAAGATCAAGGTGAAGAAGACATCCAAGGCGTCCACCAAGAAGAAGGCAGATGGTACAGTTCCCCGGACATGTTTCTACAAGCGTTTATCATACTAACAAACACATAGATGCCAAAGATGGCCCCATCGATACCTCTCCTACCGCCTCGCCCCTCCCCGTCCTCGACAGCAAAGTCGTCACCGTATTCCCGACCGGCAAGCCGCGCGAAGACGACCTCCTCGAGACCGTAATCTGCAAGCATTGCAAGCGGCCCACTCTCAAGCAAACCGCAGCGGAGCATGTCCGCGGCTGTTTGAAGGCCAAGCAGGAGAAGGCGCGCAAGAAGAAGGAGGCCCGCGACGCGGCCAATCGCCTGAAGGCCGGCGACGATAGAGACGATGACGGCCCCGACAAGGCCGACGGAGACAACCCCAACATGGGCCAGAAGAGCGCCAAGAAGAGCGCTACCAAGGGTACCGAGGACGGCAACAGGAAGGGCAAGAAGCGCAAGGCCGATGAGGACGACGGCAAGGAGTCAAAGAAGAAGAAGAAGAAGGATGAACCTAAGCAAAAGACGGCCAAGCCGAAGGGCCCTGTCGATGTCGAGAAACAGTGTGGTGTTACTCTTCCCAACGGCGCGCAATGCGCTCGTTCCTTGACCTGCAAGAGCCATTCAATGGGTGCCAAGCGCTCGGTTCCTGGCCGGACACTGCCGTATGATATGCTTCTCCAGCAGTATCAGAAGAAGAACCAGGCTCGCCAGCAGAGTAAGTTTACTATTATCTTGTTCATACTCACTATCCATCACGGGATGACTAACCCGTTCGAACTACAGAGGCTGCTATCGATGCCAACGCTCCTCTGCAGGAAGATATTGAGAACACCGGCCCTATTGACTCAGATGAAGAAAGAGATGCCGTCATGGCTGCCATTGCCCGTTCTGCGCCCCAGCCTCTTGTTCGCCACCCCATCATCACCACCAAGTCGAAGTACAGATATGTCCGCATCAAGGAGCAGATGTCGCATGCTATGGGAGTCCGAAACGGCGGTGGACTTTTCTCCAACGGCGATAGCCAGCCCCTTTTCGGTGGAATACTTTTCTCGACTGTCGCGGACGATTTGGAATCGTCTGTTGAAGATGCCAATGGGGAGCCTGATGTCTCCGCTGGTGGAATCGATGTAGGCAAAAGATCCGCTGTTCCAGGGAACCGCAAGACTCCGGTCACTGCAGCCTCTTGATTGGCGTGCCAGTCGAATTCCGCCTATCAGGCGATGATTTATGACGACTCTCTCTTCGTTTGTGGTTGGGTTTGAGCTATTACTGCCTGTACTGGATACTGGATGCTGGCGTTCATGGGTGCGGGAGGAGTACTGACCATCGTACCATTCTTCTTCAATTTCTTTGCATCTTTTGCGCTCCTCAATTTCCCTGGATAGGCCATGGGTACAGGCTGGTTCTGTCTGCTTTGAAAGGTGACGATATGATACCCCGGCTGGCGTGATGTGTACATTTGACGAAAGTAGTTGCAATTGAATACTTTCCACCTCATTGGGTTCTGACTGATATATATATGTAAGCATACGTACTATATGTATGGAGTAGTCATGTAGGACATTACGGTGAATGCACTATGCAGAATCACTAGCCCTGTAGCCTGGGCAGCCCTACCAGTGAAGCTATTCAGAGATATTCAGCTTACGTGATATATGCCTGAGGCACCAGGGCATCTCCCCGTTCTGCTCGCCGATCATCCATTGTCTTTGAAGCCTGACAGCATGAGCAAAGCGAGCCTTACTCTGACCTTTGAGTGATCTTCTTTATTAATTTGCTTCAAAGCCACCTGCAGTCGAAAAGCGTCTGGTTTATATTGTCGCGATTGCGGGCGCGCGCCCTTCGCATGTGCTATCACTCCACCAAGCTTTCCGAGTCTTATTGATCGCAGCTTGACCCCCCCTCTCAACTTTTGAGGGAACCCCGAGCCTTCCAGACCCATTCTTGCGCTTCTCGTGCCATAACACCCACCTCTCTCAATCTTCGATCCTCCACAATGGGCCACGCTGTCCCCGATCTAGACGCGATAGGCATCAAAGCCGACCATGACCTAGCTGATCAATTTCGCCGCGAAGTCGCCCAACTCCTCGGGCGCAGCAACCTCAACTTCCCTGGAGCACAACCGGTCAGCTTCTCGTCAAAGCACCTCAATGAGCTGCAACGGGAGGACTACTTTGTCTGCGAAAAGACCGACGGCATCCGCTGCCTGATGTACTTTGCGCGCGGAGATCCCGACTCTGACATGCCGGAAATTCACTACCTGATCGATCGCAAGAACGACTACCGCTACGTACCGGGCCTACACTTCCCCCTGCCGAACGACGAAAGTTTCCAGGGATACCACGTCGACACCCTGGTGGACGGCGAGCTTGTCAACGACACCTACGAGGATGGAACTACCCAGCTGAAATATCTGGTCTTCGACTGTCTGGTACTGGACGGACAAAGCTTGATGCACCGTACCCTGGACAAACGGTTGGCGTACTTCAAGGAAAAGGTGCTCAGGCCATACAATGCCATGTATCGCAAATTCCCGGAGGAGAAAGCCCACCGCCCCTTCGCCGTCGAGGACAAATCTACGCAATTCAGTTACGGCATTGAGATGATGTTCCGCGAAATTATCCCCAAGGTCAAGCGCATTCACGGTAACGACGGTCTCATCTTTACTTGTCGCAGTACTCCGTACCGCATCGGCACCGACGAACACATCCTCAAGTGGAAGCCACCCCAAGAGAACACCATTGATTTCCGTATGCGTCTTGAGTTTCCGACACTAGAGCCAGATACCGAAGATGAGGCCGAGGGTATCACCCAGCCCTACTTGGACTACGACGCTATCCCAATATGCCACCTGTTCGTCATGCTCAATGCTGGCGAGTACCGTCATTTTGGGGAGATGTTCGTTGAGCCGAAGGAATGGGAAGATCTCAAAGCCCTGCGTGTTCCACTTGATGACACTATCGTTGAGTGTGCCAAAGATGCGGAAGGACGCTGGCGCTTCTACCGTATTCGTGATGACAAGAACGATGCAAACCACATCTCCACTGTTGAAAAGGTTCTTGAAAGTATCGAGGACCGCGTCACAGAGGATGATCTCATCCGCCTCGCTCCCGTCATCAAAACAGCTTGGAAGCAGCGCCAGCACAACATGGCTATCGGGGACGAGGAGAAAAGCGGAGAGCTCAGGCTATGCCACCATCCGCGAATGCGAACGGTGTCAAGCGGAAATATGAAGGGTGATTAGAGAGACTTATATAGCCTTTTGGCTGGGATATATCATTCTTTCTCGTCTGCTCTTTGTCTCTGATTCATTGCAAGGCGCTTGGCGTTGGTTTGGACTCTGTATTTTATCTACAAGATCATGGCATGGCAACATGGAAGGGGATGAAATGGGGACGGTGTTTACGGCATTATCGTTTGTATTGGTTCAAGCAAGGAAGAAATTCATCTTGCCTCTAGTAATGTACTCTTTTAATCATCACGAAAATGTATATCAAGTTCTGTATAGACTCGCCCGATGCGGAACAGCTTACATAACAACCTCCCAGTTTGCTCCCTTTCCCGCCACCATTTCCCCATCACCAAATGACCACAGTATCTGCTCGATTCCATCATTCTCATCTCTGATATTGCTTCAGTCCCTACTGCCAGTCCAACAAGATGGGCGTCCGAGATTCCCACGGGGAGGCGACGGGGACGCCCGACCCCGTTGACAAGGGGTTCGCCACACTCAACACCATCAGGTATGTCGCTTTTTATATCTGGAATAATTGGCCTTGGGCTTTTTATGTCTACTTTTACCGGTCGCAGATACTAACTGGCCTCATAGAATCGGTGTGAAGGCCATGGTGCAGAAGGTCTGTTTTGACCCTGTGGACGCAAATTTTGGTGGTCATGTCACGTGATGATCAATCGGCGTGGTCACCCCCCCAGTCTGGGCTTTGATACTGACTATTCTGTGTAGGATGGAGAACTGCGAAAGGCTGAGATTCTGTCTATTAGACAGCGGAAGGACGGCCCTTCCTTTTAGTACGTTTACCTCTGTTCATATGGTGTCTGTGCTCTTTGAATTGGTGCTGATATAGATCCCAGCGTACACTATGTTGATTTCAACAAGCGTCTTGATGGTAAGTTCCTACTGCAGCAAGTGCATTGGCTCACGTTGGGCTTGTCCTAACTTATATTCCAGAATGGGTTGCGTCTTCTCGCATCGATCTCTCCCAAGAAGTCGAATGGCCCCAGCCAGACAAGGCTGACAAGAAGAAGACCGCCGCCGCCAGCAAAGCGGCTCCCAGCAAGAATGTGGGTGCGACTAAGCGTGCCCGGGCTGACAGCCGTGATACGTCGCAAACACCCGATATCCTGGGCGGCAAGAACGTGAACGTCGGCAAGTTGGCACGGCCCTCGAAAGCTGGAGGGAAAGAGAACCTCGGTGTCGAGACACCTGGAGACACCTCGCTGTTCCCATCTGAGGCTGCTTCAACAGTGGCCACGCCGAAGGCCACCGAGTCAGAAGACTTCGAGATGGCAGATGCTCCAGCGGAAAGCAAATCGGTAAAAGAAGACCATGTCCAAATGGCAACCGGCGAGGTAATCACTCGCGGGGAGGAAATCGAGCGACTCCGCACAGGTGGTAGTATGACACAAAACCCGACAGAGATCCATCGCGTACGAAACTTGACCCGCCTCCAGATGGGCAAGTACGACGTCGAGCCATGGTACTTCTCCCCGTACCCGGATTCCTTCTCGGACGTCGACCTGGTCTACATCGACGAGTTCTGCCTCAGCTACTTCGACAATAAGCGTGCCTTCGAGCGTCATCGCGCAAAATGCACCTTGACCCACCCACCCGGTAATGAGATCTACCGCGACGACTACATCTCCTTCTTTGAAGTCGACGGCCGTCGCCAGCGTACCTGGTGCCGGAATCTGTGTCTCCTGAGTAAGCTCTTCCTCGATCACAAGACGCTTTACTACGACGTCGACCCGTTCTTGTTCTACTGCATGACGACGCGCGACGAGACCGGCTGCCATTTCGTCGGCTACTTCTCCAAGGAGAAGGACTCGGCTGAAGGGTATAACCTGGCGTGTATTATGACTTTGCCGCAATACCAGCGCCGCGGTTTCGGCCGTCTCCTCATCTCGTTCAGCTACGAGCTCAGCAAGCGCGAAGGCAAGCTCGGCTCTCCTGAGAAGCCACTCAGTGATCTCGGTCTACTTGGTTATCGACAGTACTGGCGCGAAACACTAGTGGAGTTACTGATTGAGCCAAACCGAGAGGCTATAAGCGAGAACGAGCTCGCGGTGCTCACTTCCATGACTGAGAAAGACGTCCACGAGACTCTGGTTGTATTCAACATGCTTCGATACCACGTAAGTCTGATTCTCTACGTGTGCACTCACTGCAGCACATACATTACCGTGTGGTTTAGATTATTAACTCTCTTTGCAGAAGGGTAATTGGGTCATTGTACTCACGGACCAAGTCGTGGAAGAACACGAAAAGCGTCTCAAGAAGGAGGAGATCAAGGGCGCGCGCAAAATCGATCCTGCCCGTCTTCAGTGGAAGCCTCCTGTCTTTGCTGCTTCCAGCCGGACCTGGAACTGGTGAAGTGGTGTTTTGTGCTTACTTTTCTTTTGTTGACTTTCATGCGGACTGTTTTTAATATGCGTGGTTATCTAATGGATGTTCGGGCTTGGTTTTGGGGGCGTTATGGACGTCGTCACTGTGGTCATCTTCGGACTTGTGGTATCACAGGTGCCACCATGTCTGTGTTGATCCTTGTTTTGACATTATGGTTGATCTGGGCGGCGTATTCGAGGGACAAGGCGTTTATCTTGAGCCTTATAAGGGCTTTCGTCGGTTGATACCTATCATATGTGTAACTTATTTGACTATTTTCTGCTCATGCTTCTGAGCCTGTTTTTAATTAAAAGACTTTCATCACTCGGAATACCAAATCGTCATAGACAAGAACTTTTCTGTCCCTTCTATCGATGTGACAATGTAATCAAGTAAAGCCATCCTTCCTAGATAGTATAAAACCAACATATGCAAATTACCTACCTGAATTCCCATAAAATAAAAAGAATCTCCCTGGTCTCCATATCCATCTCAACAGCACGCCGAGTATACGATCCAAGCCATATAAAACAGCCCAATAAGAGGCCGAACACTGGCGACCAACCCCCTACAAAGAATCCCATATTTCCTCACTTAGCTCGGGCATAAAGCATGCAACACCCCATATCACTATCGAAAAATCCCCGCGATAGTCCAAGAGCAAGGCCGAGTGTCCCATTATGGCAATAGCATACATTTCCTCCTCCAACCCACAGCCCCGGTCACTTCCTGTTCCCCGTCAGGCGGCTTTTGGATGTGGCGGTGCTGTCCCATAGATATGCCCATAGCCAGCAATACTTCACAGAGGGTATAAGGATCCCCCTGCTATTGATTGTAGCCGAGCTCCAGGCTGGCCCCAAAGAGACGATGCCCGGTCTTTGGAGTTCGGTGTATTTATTTGGAGGAATCGGCGCGAGCATGATCTAGGCCAGGAGTCCGGTGATTTCGTTGGCATGGTGTTATGGAACCGGAGGGTCCCGAATGAATAGATCGGCTGGAATGCAGGGTCCGTCCGGGGTGGTTTCGGGTTATATGCTCTCGTTGAGGCCTCGAATGCGTGCTTCGTCACCTGTCACCTGTAACATACAGTTAGCTCATGGCCTAAACAAGGGATTCGTCGAGCTCTTGATCTGACCCATCACCTTCGTCTCACTAGAATAAATCCTAGTGCTCAGATCACAACACCCGGAGAGCAGGGTGGTTGGAGTTTGACAGGGGGCATTGACGGGTGAAAGTGAGGTATGGACAACGCTGTCGCTTCTGGGATGGATCTGCTTGAGATTGGGCACTCACTTTGGAGAAGTAGTGGACGAAGAATACATGCTTGGGAGATGGAGATGCACAGCAAGCCAACCCTCTTTACCTATCTTGAGAGTTGGGCTTCGTTTACACTCTACAGAGAACATGGAATTGTGTAACAATGGAATTTGAAATTCTCTTAAAAGTATCGGTGCGGATTTCGCTGAATACTCGACAACACTGGGCAACGTGATACTGCTTGGTCGGAACAAGCACGCACCACCCGGGCAATGACACAAGCAGGACGCTGGATAGGACGACGATGGTCCTCACATGAAAAGCCAAAGGGCTGCAGTCCTGAGTCGGTCGGGGGAGGGGACACAATAGGCGAGAAATTGAAAATCACAAGTACATGAGAAACGCGTATGCGTGAAGGGGTAGAGGAAGGATCCGAATCGTGGGCCCGACTCCAGAAGTAATGAAGTGGGCAATGGCAACAAGAGTCGGAAACAAATGTTGATTTAGGAATTGGCGAGAATGAACCCAAGTTCTCGCCTCCCAAGATGAATCAGCAAAAAGATGTTGAGAACGCTTTCAGATAACCATACGCTTGGAAGGCCGAAAGCTCCTAACGAGGAGTGGGCGGTGGAGTCCAGCCCGTGTGCTGACGGGGTGGCTGTCGTGGGACGGTGTTAGAGGCAGACTTCTTGTTGCCACCGGAAAATTCATTTGGCTTGTTGTTGATACCCTTGCGGGGTCTCGCATTGGTATTAGCATTGCGGCCTCGAGGCGGGCCAGCCTTGCGTTGGATAAGAACGGTCTTGGGCTCAGAGCCACCAGGAAGAAGGATCGAAGCGCGAATATTACCCTGACCATCCCGATCATTGTGGCCAACCAGGAATGGCTGAATGCTCTGCGATTGCACCTGCTTAAAGTTCTTTCCACGGGGGCGTTCCGATGGACGAGTTGCGTCCCAAGAATTCTGGGGAGCCATATTCGGCACACGAACAGCAGGCAGAGAGCCGGGTTCCCGGTCTTCAAACATCTCATCCTGTTCATTGACTTGTCGGACGGCGAAATCGCCATCACCAGCCTGTGATCCAGCCTTCGTCTGCGGGATAGAGACAGATACAGCACTAGTGTGGACAGGAAGAGGCTCCTTGGTAGCTGATGCCACAGCTAGGACACTCTTCTTCTGCGTAGGAGTGGTTTTGCCGAAGAGACCGTTAATCTTATCCTGCCACGAGATCGCGGTGGAGGAAGGAGGCACCGTGTTACGCGGTGGCGCAGCTGCCATGGAAGCAAAAGTCGGCGGGGGCGCCGGGGCACCCATGGCCTTTGGAGGCAGCTTGACAACGGGCTTGGGAGGTTTAGGGGCTGGAAGATTAACATTGGGGTGCTTCACGTCTCCATGGTAGGCAGGGTGGCTGATTTCCTCAGGAGGAGGAGGCGAAGGACTGCTGCGCTCCTTCTCGGCGACCTGGCGTTTCGACTGCTCCGATGGCGAGGGGAAGAAGCGAGAGCTCCGGGTAGAAACGTTGCCGGCTGGACGAACACCGATGTCAGCCATGTTGAGACCATCCATAGGAGTATCGAGAGTGGTAAGAGGATTGGCTTGCTGGTTCGCAGCCGCCTTGGCCCTGGCGATGTCTTCATCATTGTTGATGACTCTTTCGGTGACTCGAGTGACGACCCGTCTGCCGTCTTCAGTGGCACGGGTTTTCTTCCAAGTCTCTGTGAAAACCACAGGCGCGGGAGGCGGGGCCGGGGCTCCCTTGCGTCGCTCATCAAGTCGCTTCAGGAATTCCTTAGCGTCCTGTTGTTCTTTCTCGAAGGCGTTCTCGTGGAATTTATTCCACTCGTTAATACGAGCATTCCGTGCGCTGGGCGGTCCGATTGGGCTGGGGCGTCCAATGGGGTTGAGTGGGTCAAATGAGGGATGACGTGCCTCAGGTGACGGCAGAGAATCGGTGGGCTCATTAGGAGCAGAGAAATTGGGAGAGGTAGACATATTTGGCGAATCCAAGCCGAGTTGGCCTAGAGGGTTTTCACGCGATGCAAAAGTCCCAAGAGGTTGGTCAAAGATGCCGTTCCCAAGAGTTGGAGTGCGGTCACTGCCAAACGGTTTCCACAAATTTTTGGCAGATGTGGATGGTCCAGCAATGTTAGGATGAGACCAGGGTGAAGTAGAAGTCAAATTCCCTTGCCACTGAGTACCTTGCTCCACGAGCTTTGAATCTGATGTCTTGCTCTGGACAGGTGAATGAGGTTCAGTTTTGAAGTGAGCGGCAGATGGAGGTGCAGGATCACGATGGAGTTCTTGGTGGGGTGATGAGACACGTCGGTTGAGATGTTTGCTCTCAGATGTCCGCTCATGCGCACCAACGAGTTTCTTGACAGAGTCGGGATGATGCACTTTCATCATACCATACTGTTTTGGTTCCCGATTGGGCTCTGGCACAGGAGGTTTTGGAGGTGAAGAAATAGAATGGATGGGTTGAGAAGGAAGTTGAGAAGGGGTTTGGGGAGGATGAAGAGAGTGAGAGTGAGGTTGAGGTTGAGGTTGAAGAGAGGGGTGGTTGCGCGTTTCGGGGGCCTTTTTCTCTGGCGCAGGACCCATAGCCGCGAGACGTTGCCTAATCCTCTCCTTTTTAGCTGCTTCCTCTTTCTCTTCCTGCTCAATCCTTCGTTGCCTGGCCTCTAGGCGTTTCTCCTTCATAATACGCTCTTGCAGAGCAACGGGGTCCTCCTGAGGTTCTTGCTGAACTTGAGGAACCGCTGCCTGTGTTTCCACAGGAGACATACCTACATCAACAGCTGGACGTGCTGTACCATTTGGACCAGACGGAGCAATTTGGTCTTTGCCATGATGCTGCTCGTGACCCACTATCGCTGAATCACCCAGACCATTCACTTGAGAACCTCTGCGAGCATCATTGTATCTCGGAGGAGCATCAAATCGGCCAACTGACATCCTACGGCCAAACCCTCCGCTTCCTCCGCTCACGTTCGATGATGTGCGACGACGACCCCAACCCATGCCATCCTGATGACTGAGACCTGTGCGTCTGGAATGCAGCAGATGGCTCTGCGGGTCCACTTGGATGCTCGTTTGGCCTCTGCAAAACCGCAGGAGCACGCGAGTGTTGGTCATGGCGCCAAGATCCTCTCCTGGTTTCACCCACCGGTTCGTACTGGGAAGATCGAGGATTGAAAAGCTGCGGCAAATCTGACTGATCTTTCCATGCACGGTTGAAATCATCCGCTGCAATCTCCTTGGGCGGCATCGCCATTGGGGCATGATGGCCGTCGTCTCTCTGGGGGTATCTCGCGGGCATGCGCTGTTGGTGAGGCTGAACCGGGGCATTGACTGGAGACACTCTATCGACAGGAGGCAGAGCGGCCCAAGGAGACTTGGATGGCGGTGCTGGGCTGGTGGAGCTAGATGGAACTTTGTCATTTGTGCCGTTAGAGGAAGCGCTCGCAGTTCTTGCTTGCCGTTCAGCATTAGCTCCAACTTTGAGTACCATAGCACGGGACCCCATAGATGCAGCTGGCTTCGGCGCAGTCTTGATAGGCTCCTTCGGAACGCTTGGCTCCACAGGCGGTGACTCCTTGGTCTCCCGATGACTGGGAGCCGGCGGGGGTTCAGTGTGAGGTTGAGTGAGATTGACCTTCGTTCCATCTGTCCACTCGATCGTCTCAGGGGCCCAATCATCTTCATCGTCATCAATATCCGCCCACTTTGCTTCGGAGCTAACAGCCCCATCTTCTTGGATACGAGAAGTCATATGGATTCCGTATTGTTGTTTCAATTCTTCATCCGTCAAGTGTTTCGGAGGGGCGGGCGCAACAGCTACATGGATATCATTGTCAGTTTAAGCGATTCCGTTGCATCGCATGACAAATACATACGTCGGTTCTTATTCCACACTTGATTCGGATCTGGCCCTGATCCACCAGGCTTGCCTCCGCCTGCTCCAGCCTTCGAAAACGAATCACGCGAGCCTTGTGTAGACTTTGCAACCAAGCGCGGCCGGGAGCTTGGCTGTGGGGTACCGAGTGGTGTTGTAGACGTTGGCGCTGAACAAGTTAGAGCCAATTATGAGAGATGTCTGACAAAGAACATACCTTTCTCAGGCGCCTTAGGTGGTGTTGGAGCCCCCGGAACCTTGTTTACCGAGAACTTGGCAAATGAAACTGGCTTGAATCCTGATGGCTTTTTGACTGAACCACTGTGAGTCTGATTCCTGCTATCTGGTCGGCTCGCATCTGATTCCGAACCACCTTGTGATGCTGTATCCTCTCCACCATCCGATGCCGAGGCCAGTCCATTAAGTTCAAGAACTCGCGTCGCAACAACTCCGGCGCCTTGCTTAGAAGTATCCTGCGCCCATATTAGCAAGTGCTTTGGAGCGCATCCAGAAGCGATGCTCACCGTCGTCGAGCCTCCAGCGTCCTTGTCGCCGGCAGCTTTTTCTCCCCGTGAATCAGGAGTGTTCGTCTTCTCATGGTTTTGCTGATCATTCAAATTTGAGTTGTTCGATGTAGCGGTAGTCATTGCGATATGCTCGGTCTTCCCTGCGTCCCCTCCAGCAGATGGATTGTCGTTGGTGCTCGCAGGAACGTCGGAAGGCGAAGGCTCGCCGCCCGACAGGGTCTGATCTACCACATCGCGGTTTTTCTGCTCTGCCATAACAATACTCGATTCTGTTCCATACAATAATTGCAACGGTGTAAGCCAAGTGCCCTGACAGTGGGGAGATAGATCCGGGGACGCAATAGGCAGCTGCAGATCAGACATGCCAGACTCCCAAGACATACCTATCGTCAGATACCAAGGATCGCCACAGTTGCACTGGTTCCTTGACTGGTTGCACCCTGAATATATGGGTTATCACAACCAGGGATGGTATCGGCCAACTCTCTCGGATGTTGATGAGAAAGCCCGTGTCGGGTTGGGCTCGATGTGGAGAGTACGATCGCGGAATCGATAGGCGCGTGGCTTGGGGATATCCGCAGCCCAAGAGGTCCCAGAAGGGATTAGGGCAAAGAAGGAGGGAGTATGCGTAAGGACGGTTGATGACACAAAGATAGTGAGGATGATACGAGGTTCAAGAGTCAACTCGGGTTGAAGCTGAGGGTCGCTGTTTTCGGTTTAGCGTGGCCCGTACAAAAGTTGTGAGGTCTGCCCACACACCTGCAAGTCGGATTCCTTTCAAAAGCCCTAGTTTTGTGATGTTCTGATCAGTTTAAAAGGTCGTTTTGCTGGATGTTGTCGTTGTTTGCAAACGCTAAATTTCCGAGAATTTATTGATATCTGACGTGAAGTTGATATGTGACGAGAAACTATGGAAAGAGCCCGTCACTCAAACTTCTACGTAATATGTATACTCAAGGGCTAAATCTATTGCAACTACGAGAGAACGACAAAGGGTAGTAAATCTGAATATTGAAACACAGTGAGATTCTAAAATTCTCGCTAAAACCACAGTTCTCCCTTGCACTAGGACAGAGGATCCAGTATATACATCAATCCTCCACCTATTTGATGGAAAGGGAAAGCTTAGTGGGGGTGGTTCTTGTGGTGACCTAGTTAAGAACATCAAGTCAGTGATGCCCCAACTATAAAGAGGGTATATAAGCAGTGTAATAGCCGGGAAATACATACGCAGGTGGAAGTAGTACTCCATGCTGTAACCCAGGATCAGGATACCGCCAATAGCGTGGACAAGGGCTGCATCGAAATCAGTACTCATATCAATACAAGGGAATAATTGACAAATACGTACGAACACCGGAGGCGTTCTTGCCGCTGAAGTAGCGGGCCTGGTAGCGACCGATGAGACCGGTAGGCTTGACAGGAGCAGCGGGGCCACGGGGAAGACCAGCGTAGAAGGTCACAACACGCTCCATGCGGGCGGCATCCTGGGCGGCACCAATGGCCTTGATTGAGAATATGTCAGTTATACTGGCGAAAGAGAGACGGCATTTTAATCAAATCGCGGGCTGCACGAAAAACGGCTTCGGGGCGGAACGGGTATGGAAGGGATGCACGAAGTCGAAGATGGCAGCGCATGGGTAACTCACGTTAGGGGAGGCGACCTAAAGAGACAATTAGTATCATATGAGGAGTCGGGTGACTGCAAATAGTCATGAATGGGGGTGCTCTTACCTTGGGGGGGATCAAGGTCGAGAGACCTCGGCGGGCAATGTAGCTCATCTTGTCTAGGCTGAAGGGGGTCAGAAATTGGTCGCACTGAATAGAGCGGCTCTCAATGAGCATTTGCGGGGTGGTAGAGACGTGGACTTACGTTGATTCGCGGCGCAAGTGAACCAAAGAAAGCTGATGGAGGAGGAAGGAGGAACAAACCGAGCCCTGCGGGTGTTCGGCTTGCCAAGCCCGGCTAAACCCGATTCGGTGGTGTCGTGACCTGCCTGTAATTCGCAACCAAACCACACTTGAAGGGAGTCCTCACTGGCAACGACCATTCCCTGCACCCAAAAAGATACAATGTCACTGTTCAGAATTGGGGGTGCTGCTAGCCTTCGGGCCACCCGACTTGCTGTGCCTGTCAATTCCCGTTTCGTCTCCAGCAAAGCCCTCAAGGGCGATCCTTCCGTGAAGACCAGCACTTCGGATGCTCCCACCACGCCTCCCAAGGACAGCTCCTTGCTCACCAAGGAGACCCCCTCCGAGGCCATGGCCCGTCACCAGCCGGATTATGAGGCCACCATTGACCACGGCACCTCGTACGACATTCCCCTTCAGCTCCGTCGCAGATCCTTTCGCTAACTCTTTGACTTCAATTAAGGCAATTTTCCCCTGTGCCCAAGCGCGTCATGGATGGCAGCGAGCCCGGCGCCACTCTCCCCGCGGCAGTTCTCTCTGGAGCCCCTACCGATCTCCAGGCCCGCAATGTCCGGTACGTTACACAAATTTCGAGCCGTGTCGCCTAGCTCCCACTCTAACCAGTGACTCTTACAGTATCTACCGGCCTACCAAGCCCGCAACACAGTCCGGTACCTGGCACCAGCACCACTGGCGCATGGATTGGGATATCTTGCAGCGGGGTCACCGTTGGGAGAACCCTCTCATGGGCTGGCAGTCGTCTGCCGATGGAATGCAGGGCACCAGCCTGAAGTTCAAGTCGAAGGAAGACGCCATCGCTTTTGCGCAGAAGCAGGGCTACGAATACTTTGTCCAGGAGCCGAACGAGCGCCGTTTCGTGCCCAAGTCCTATGCCAACAACTTCGTTCACGAGCCCAAGAAGCTCAAACATATCAAGACCAAATGATTTGACTTCGCTGTATCATGTACATATTTGCCAGTTTACCACTTGAACTCAATTCCAAGCACTTCGATATATCGCGTTCTAATATAGTTCACCTTTGCATGTCATGAGTTAGGGTTAACGACTGGTAGCTCCCATTCAATTACCAGCAGCAAAAAGGAACGGAAACGATGTCAATACTGCTTCTGCATGGTGACATATTATTTCTTTGGAACAATGGCGCATGTATATTCCTCATGTGCCTTGGGTAAGATCTCATGTTCAAATCAAAGTGTTGGTCTTTGATATAACTACCCGGCATCACCACCCTTCTTTGTCAACTTAGTATGTGGCTCAATTTTTATTTAATGTTCTGACATTGGAAAAGGTTGCCCAGAAAGCCTGTCCGTCAACCAATGCTTGTAGCTCCAACTGTCCGGTATTTCTCAGAATAGCTGTGCTCGGATCCCGACGTGCTTTCTACAGTATCACCTGTATAGCCACTGAGTCCATTGCATGAGCATAGGGAACACGAGCAAAAATGACCTAGAGCCTGCAAAGTACGGGCTAGCTTTAGTTCTATAGTGCTTCGAATTGATCCATTCATGTTTCTATTCCATTAGTAACTGTATGTTTATGACCTCTAGATGTCTCACGATGTGTGTGCAGCAAATGTGAGAAGCAAATGTGAGAATCTTATTTGATTATTCGGTCAATCATTGTTTCAAAGATCAAAGGTCTCACTGCAATGTACTTATGGAAACCTTGGAAGTCTTTACAGCACGTAAAAAAAGTTACTACGTAGTTATATATTTTAAGATCAGCGCTCCCATCTACAAGTAGCCACATTCGTCAAGTCTTCACATATACCAATACATGATTATAAAACCTAAGGATATCTAATATCTAGGTAGGTAGTTAATTTAGTTCGCAATTACAGGACTATGGCCTTGGCTTACACCGGAAACATTCAAGACTTAAACGTACGAGCAAAAAACCCATGCAAAGGCTGAATGGGTCCCGCCACCCCCCACTCTAAAAATTGATAAGATCAAAAAAAGATTAACCAACTTTTCTTTTCCACTTTTATGCTCTCTGACTAAACCACTCAAAATGGCTTCCGAAACAGATAATACTGTTCCTACTCTCCGCAAGGTTCTTGTATCCGAATCTGAGCCGCTTGCTCGCCGCTTCCGCGCGCTTTTCTCCCTTAAGCACCTGGCCTGCCTACAACCTCCCACAGACCAGACCCTCCCCGCCATCGAAGCGATCGCCGCAGGTTTCGCGTCACCCTCGGCCTTGCTCAAGCATGAGCTTGCCTACTGCCTTGGTCAAACCAAGAACTTCGAATCTGTCGCATACCTGCAGCATGTGGTGAAGGATACCGAGGAAGACGCGATGTGTCGCCATGAGGCTGCCGAGGCGCTGGGCGCTCTCGGATACGCGGATAGCTTGGATGTCCTCAAGAGATTTAGGGATGATACAAAAGAATTGGATATTATTAGGGAGACCTGCGATATTGCTGTCGACCGAATCCTGTGGGAGAACTCAGAAGAGCGCAAGGCCGAGAAATTGAAACCTAGGTACGATCTGCGCGGGAGATTATATACCAAGAAATGCTGACATTGAGATCTTTGATTTACAGTGATTTCACCTCTATCGACCCTGCTCCCCCCCATGCCCCTAGAGGCCAGCGCCGAACCCTGCATCCCCGACCTGGAAAAGACACTGCTTGACACCAAGCTCCCTCTGTTCCAAAGATACCGTGCGATGTTCGGTCTGCGCGACCTCGCCTCGCCCCCAGACCTTCCCACCGCAGTCGACGCCGTCAATGCGCTGGCTAAGGGCCTCAAGGACCCCTCTGCTCTCTTCCGCCATGAAGTTGCCTTTGTGTTCGGACAACTCTGCCACCCTGCCTCAATCCCTAGTCTCACAGCCTCGCTGAGTGACCTGTCGGAAGTAGGAATGGTGCGACATGAAGCGGCGGAGGCCCTTGGCAGCCTGGGCGAGGAGGAGGGTGTTGAGGAGACCCTGAAGAAATTCTTGAATGACCCCGATCAGGTGGTCAGGGACAGTGTCATTGTTGCTCTCGACATGGCAGAATTTGAGAAAAATGGCGAAATTCAATATGCGCTTATCCCGGATAGCGCTGCACCCATTGCTGCATGATGGATATCCTGCAAAAAAAGAAATTTGTCTCGTGACGGTCGTGATTTTAATACTCTTGTCCCGCTAGTTATACAGCCTTTCTCCAAAAATAGACCTTTCCCCACATCTTTTGTACAATCCGTGTTTGCAAGATTAATTGTTCGAGGTTTCCCTGTTGAAATAATCAGTATTTGTTGGACATGTATAGATATATGCTTCCGAGGCGGGTGGGCATACTTGAATCCGCAGACACATCTGTAGAACACAGTACTTCCTTCATCGGCACTGCGCAGTTGCACCGTAGTGTAGAACATCTGCTTCCTCCCGCACTCGCTACATGTACGATCGATGATAGCCTCAGTCTTCCGGTCCTCTGCTGACAGGGTCTGGACTGCCGATCGTTTGGCTCTCAGTGATGAGGGGAATGAGGAGGGCTTGGACTCAGACACGGTTGTTTGGGGGATTGTATCTGTAAATAGAAGTTAGCAATGAACTGTCTAGCAGCATGGGAAGAACCAGAAGGATTTTGTCCACCCACCTTTATTCCGAGTGCCGCAGACATCACAGTGCAGAATCGCATCCGCATTGCCGGTAGATTCTCGAAGGAGATTACCGCAATCTGTGCAGAAAATCAAGGAACCAATGGCAGACATATTGATGAGTGTAAAATTGACTTTGCGATCTGAAATCTGCAGAAGATCAAGGGTGCAAGTAAAACAAATCGGGCCTTATGCAGCGAATAATCTATGCAACTTTTTTTTGACGCACGAGCCTCCACATAGGCGGTCACAGGCGGCAGTAGAGGTGCCGTCACCCATACGGAATTCATGAACGCATTTGATTGTAGCTCAGCTCATTTTCTTTCAGATTCTGGCTTTTTTTTCTTTTTTAAATTGCATAAATGATCTCAGGGATATCATAAGGCGCCTGCCTTCTTTGCCATGTCTCTACCAGGAGCATGTCAACTTTGTGACTCGCGCCTACTTCTTTTGACTTAACCTCGACCATGGATCAGAATGGACGACCGGCCGTCCAGGTGGTCATCAACGGCCATGATCAGATGCCATATGGCTCCAATATGCAGTTTCAGAATCAAAGACCGCTATCTGTGGATGAAGCACTGCAGTACTCATCCATGTCCAGCGCGCCTGTCTTTGGTCTCGGTTCGTTTATTCTGTTTCATCTTCAACTCTGCTCAATTTACTAACAGTTTGTACGTACAGACTGTATCCTACGCCCTGATGTTGGTCGACCTTCAAATACCACTTCTATAAACCATGTCCTCCAAGAAGGCCGCAAAACGCTGGGAGAACTTGACACGGAAATGCAATCTGGACGAGATGAGTCTGGTCGTTTAGAAACGTCTCGAGAATATATTCAACAGTTGCTGGATGGAGATCAGCTGACAGAATTGTAAGGGAACTGGAAGTCCTTGAAGCGCAGTCAACTCATTTGGATTTTATAGCAAATTCAAGTTTCCTCAAGTTCCTACTCGAAGTCAACAGTTGCGCCCAAACGATCCTGATGGTGCTACTTCCGGTCACAATAGCCTTGGTTCCTTCGCACGGTTGATGCTGAGCTCTACGGACATTGCATTCAGATGTAAGCCCTAAGATGCCACGGACGGTTGTACATAGTTAATTGACTGACCGGCCGCAGATCCCGAAGTACCCTCAAAGACAAAACCCGAAAATAAAGACATCACACCGAAGACAGCTGCTTCGTTGAACCAGCGCGCATACGTTGCGAACAAATCGAACCCGACATCTTTCTCAGCCTCTTTTGACCAGAATCATCCTCCTACATCGAGCCAACTCTCCGTCGTTATACCAACCAAACCAGTACCCCAGCACAACGATCACGCGAATGCGAAGAAGCTCCAATTGAAACCCCATGGCCAAGACGCTATGGCGGCGGTGCGACTCAAGGACCAAAAAGAGGAAGCAGATGCAGCCTTGCAAAAGCTTCAAGATCTTCTTCACGAGGTTTTTGAAGCAGAAGATCAAATAGAACCCGATACTTCGACTCCCCCAACTTCTGACACACCAAACCCCATTTTCGTGAACCCAACATCTTTAGAAGTGCATGGGTTGATACTATCGTCCGATGCTCACACCCGCCTCCAGAAAGCCCTTCGGAAAGTTGCAGGGTTTGACCGACTCCAGGATATACCGTCTGACTATCTCAACCGCATTCAAAAGTTGTGCGAAAAGTCAATCATTGCTGCACAAACCCCTGACATAGGGTTAGGCGATTCATTAAGTGAGCTTGAGTCCCAGGAATGGCTGGGTAAGATCGAGGATGTGTTGAACGCACTATTTGCAATCGGAACGCTGCTGCAGACGATGTCCGGACGTCAGACCGAGCGAGATCTTTGCCCAGAAGATCTCATTGAGGCCATTCCCACCGTTCTCAATCAAGTATTTGACCATTGCATTATTCCCGCGGTGGAATCGCGTCCTGGTGGCAAAGACGGCCAGCATTTCCACTTCTTCTCCGCCCAGAAACGGATCATTGGTGCTCTTGTTCACCAGAGCAAGAAAGTCCTCACTCTTTTTGCAGACTTCTTATCTCGCATTGATGTCTCCGAGGGGACGATCACGGCTGCGGAATTCTTTGCTGCGAAGCTAATATTTGTGGAAAATGCGCACAATGACAAAGACTCTGCCCTGGGATATCAGAAGTACGAGCCTGCGAGACGTGGTGCGATGGATGTGCTTGCAAAGGTGTTTTCCAAATACCCCGAGCAGCGTCCGTTCATCCTGGATGAGATTCTGGTCTCATTGGAGAAACTTCCCACCACACGTCAGAGTGCCCGGCAGTTCAAAGTTGCAGATGGAAAAAACATCCAATTACTCACCGCACTAGTCCTGCAGCTCGTCCAGACAACTGCGTTAGAGACACCTTCGCGATCAAAGAGCAAACGTCGAATCAAACCACAAGCTGATGACGATGACGACGAGCTTATGGGCGATGGCGAAGACCATGCCAACGGTGAGTCTGATGATGCCGAGTCCGACGAATCGTTGGAACGCCTAGCGAACAAGTCCAATCGACTCTACGACAATGCCATGCGCTCCGCACAATACATTGTGAACTTCATCGTTCAGCGTGCTATGAACTCGACGAAGACCGGTGATCAGCCATACCGGAATATTCTGGACCTTTTCACTCAGGATCTGATCAATGTACTGGGCTCGGCTGATTGGCCGGCTGCGGAACTGCTTCTCCGGATCTTGGCCTTGCGCATGATTCAAATCACTGACCAAGATAAAAGCGCGGCGACTGCGAAGAGCATGGCACTTGAGCTTCTTGGCTGGATGGGTTCTGCTATCTCAGATCTGATAGCAACCGCTCAGCACATGCTCCCGGCTCTGGAAGATTCCGACAGTGAATTGACTGATTATCTCAAACAACAATTCGAGGAATTTTCTTCTGGTGCACTGCATCACCAAGACCTCATCACTCCAACGGGTCCGTATAGGATTGCGCTTGAGCACCTTTTGCAAGACAAGAATTCCGACAATTGGCAACTGACTAGCGCGCGGGGCTACTACTTGGCTCAATGGGCCAAAACAGCCTGCGCCCTATACTACAACTCCGAGGATCAGGAAGAAATTGCACACGACGAGGTGACTGATGATTTGGTTACTCTTTTAACAAGATCCTTCTCAGACCCACGCTGGTTGGAGACCCATAAAGAATTCGACAAAATTCCAAACGTGCATGGAAAATTCGCTTATATCCTCACAGTCTTGAATTCCAACTTTGGCAAAGCATTCGATACCATTCTCAAAGTTCTTTTGGCCTCTTTCCTCGGTGACTCGGCCAAGGTTCGCAGCCGCAGCTTGAAAAGTGTCATCTACATGCTCGAGAAAGACCCGAACCTTCTTGACAGAGACCCTTCGGTTTTGCGCGTAATACACCGGTGCACGACAGATGCCTCACCCATGGTTCGTGATTCTGCGTTACAGTTGATCGGACAATGCATTGGTTTGAAGCCTAAGCTCGAAGAAGAAGGGTGCCGAAGCATCTTGGCATGTGCAGCTGATCAAACAGCTGGTGTTCGGAAACGCTGCATCGGGCTTTTGAAGGAACTTTACCACAAAACATCTCGGAAGGAATTGAAGCTGGCCATTCTCGACAGTTTCCTCCAACGCACAGGTGATCTTGAGGAGAGCGTGGCATCTTTGGCTCGCCAGACCTTCGAGGAAATATGGCTCGTTCCATTCCACGAATCCATTGATTCCCCGTCCGAAGGGCCAAAACTGAAAATAGCCCTCGGAGAACAGGTCGGCCTCATCGTTGGCCTGACGGAGCGCAGTGAAACTGCCCTGGAGTCTCTTAGCGTCTGCCTGAAAGCGGTTCTGTCGGACAAATCCAAGTCCGGGGCATTGAACTTCAAAGTTTGCAAGGCGATGGTTTCTACCATGTTTCAGAGACTGGTGGAGGATTCAGACGGATCCAGCAAGGAATTCCAGCAAGCTTTGTTACAGACCATCACTGTCTTTGCCAAGTCGAATGCGAAGCTGTTTACCCCGGATCAGCTGGAGGCCCTGCATCCTTACATTGGACATCTTTCTACCGCAGATGATCTCTTCATATTTCGATCGGTTGTGGTTATCTATCGCTGCGTCTTGCCATTTTTATCCTCGTCCCACAACACCCTTCTCAAAGAAGTGCAGAATGACCTTTTCAAGAGCGTTGCCAAGCTCGCCCGCGCGGAATTGAACGAAGTCATGGCTTGTTTGTGGACCATTAACAGTGTTCTGCAAAATACGAACAGACTGGTGAAGTTGACAGTTTCAGTGCTGAAGCCATTGCAACAATACAAGAGTGTTGATCTCTCTTCGACCACACATTCTGCAATCTTGGCCCGTGCTAAGAGTTATATTCGCATTGCGGGTTGTGTTGGACGGCATTGTGATCTTGAGAAGTATGCGTCTCATTTCAAGAGTGAATTCCCCACCTGGGCCGGTGGCTCAGTTGCGGGCCTGATGGTTGACTCCGTTATTCCCTTCACTGCATCAAATTCACCCTTTGAGCTGAGGGTCATGGCTCTCGAAAGCCTGGGATCTATATGCCAGTCTTGGCCTGGTCAGTTCGGCAGAGAACGCACACGGCAGACTTTCGCTCAGGCTTTCAAGGAAGATGCCCCAAGCCTACAAAACATCGTTCTCCGATCATTTGCAGACTTCTTTGCCATCCATGAAGGCAAATCCGAGAAGGCTGTCATGCCAACTGCGGAAGCCGCTGCCCAGGAAGACAATACCAGGTTGGGTGGTTCTTTAAAAGCTAGCGACAACGATGGAGCTGCTGCTTTGATCGCCCAACACTTCCTCTCAAACATGCTTCAGGTGGCACAATCGCGCCAGGATACTTATTCACTGACTGCCATTGAACTTATTGCGAGTATCAATAGGCAGGGCTTAGTACACCCAAAGGAATGTGCGGGTGTTCTCGTCTCTCTGGAGACTTCTACAGTCCCTGCAATTGCGAAGATTGCTTTCGACACGCACAAAATGCTCCACCAACAATACGAGTCCATGTTTGAGCGAGAATACATGCGCGCTGTGCAAGAGGCGTTCTATTATCAGCGTGATATTGTTGGCGACTCCAATGGCGCTAATGCTAGGCCTTACGTCTCGAAGCT